CTAAGTCTAAATTTTTAATTAACAGTTTACATAAGAAACCTATACAGAGTGGTCCATAATAAATGTGCTAAAAACTAACTCTAACTCGAGCCTGTGAGTAAATAAAATTCTGGTTAATAATGAAAAACAGGATGTTAAAACTAGTTGAAAATGAAATCGTTATTCCTCTATAGCGCAAATCTGTTTTGAAATAATCGACAAGACGACTTCGGAATGGTGCTTTTTGGATATGGGGAAGACCTAGGGGGCGCTACTTACACTATAACGTCGATATTTCATGTCGTATTGATATTAGACAAATAACAATTTCAAGAACTGCTTCTTATTATTAAACGGTGTTACAATATTTCGTTATTAAAATTCCCCAAGATCAAAGCACTGCCATTTTGAAAGACGCAGCTCGAATACACACGTGTGACAAAATCTTGCCAGGTATTCTATTGACATCAAAACGTAGATAGTTTTGCACAAAACTAAACCAGCGTACGAATAAGTGACACGTAGAGGAACCGACACACAATGGAAAAGGATTTTTGACAGGGTTGTGACTGATATTTAGCCGCTTGACTTGCGACGAAAGGACGATGTGGCCCTGCGTTGTATTCAAAGGATTATTCCAGCCTTTGATAATGGTGTACAGGCCGAACATCAATAATTTTTTCATTGTGGCGGACTCTGTTGTAATCCGGTGTGTAAATATGTGCAACCCGATCCGTGAGGCCGATAAAGATAAATACTTTTTAACACATCTTTTGATGTGGATGGATGTAAGGAAGCAACAAAAACCGGTTTAAGGCTAGAGAGTTCGTCTTATTTAGTATTTAAAGTAATATTAATTTACGTATGTTCTATTTTATTAAACCAGTTTACTAATCCCTTAAAAGGGTGTTACGTACAATAGGTTCATATACAGGGTATTCATTTTTCGAAACTTTGTTAGTGCATTTTACTTATTTTAACTAAAGGGAGATACTGTTTTCACAAACCAGTGGTATACTTTTAGGAAAGATGGCTTAAACGAAAATTCCCCTTCCCTGTTGTTTATGAAAAATAATAAGTACATTTTAGTACACCTGCCGTATCTTTTCTACTTATTGCAAAGTAAACGAGTCAAGGTAAAAAAATAACATCTCGCACATTAGTTTTTTTTAAATACATGTTTGTATTTAACAGTAAAACAAATGCCATAAAATTGGAAAACTTGAATATTATAAAAAGATATCTAAGTAATTAATTTAACCCTCCGTTCAAAAAAGACCAATGATTTATTGGGTATTCTAGAAAATGCCAAATTTTTGACAATCACGAATCTCACGTCGCACTTGTCAATTTTTTTTTTTTGGTTTGCCAAATTTTAATATTATAAAATTAAAATACCTAATTTTTATTTGTTTTAAGCAAAGCAAAGCAAAGCAATTTTGATGCCCCCTATTCCAAACCATCGAAAAGAGATTTGGAACATTAATTTCACTATTTCGACTTTTAATGATTTTAACTCTTTTCCTACTGATTAATTAGCGAAAATATTCAATTATGCACTGGCCAGGCGAGGGCAAGTATCACTGTAAAATATCAGCTTCATTAAACATTATCGCATGCGATGCGAATCTTTTTATTTGTGACGATTTCTTTTTTTCAATTCATGAGAGATAATGGAATACTCCTTTCAAACTCAATTTTATTGTAACTTATGGGATTAAAAGGTAATCTAGAAGTAAGAGAATATCTTTAAGAATTTACAATTGTGCCTAAGTCTAAATTTTTAATAAACTGTTTACACCAGGAACGCTATACAGAGTGGCTCGTAATAAATGGGCTAAAAAGCAACCTAACTCAAGCTTGTGAATAAAATGAAAAAGAGGATGTTAAAATTCAGTAGTTGAAAATGAAATCGTTATTCCTCTATAGCTTAATTTGGTTATGAAATCATCATCATCACGCTGCCTATCCACTTAATGGATGTTGGCGACCACACGCTGAAATTGGTCTCTATCTCTTGGCGCGTTGACAAGTTCCCCAATTGTTTTTAGACCTGTCCATTGTCTAATGTTCCTTGCCCATGACATCTGTTTCCTTCCTATTCCTCTCTTGCCATCTATTTTACCCTCTAATATGAGTTGTAACACCTGATACCTATCATGTCTAAAAATGTGTCCGAGGTAGGCCGTTTTCCTGCGTTTTACGGCTGTAAGTAGTTCTCTGTTCTTATGAACTCTTCTTAGTACTTCGTCGTTAGTTACTCTGTCCGTCCACGGGACTCTCAGAAGACGTCGGTAGGTCCACATTTCGAAGGCTTCCACTCTGTTGATCATTTTTGCATTCACAGTCCATGCCTCCACTCCGTACAAAAGTACCGACCAAACATAGCATTTTGCATATCGGACTCGAAGAGACAGGTGCAGGTCTCGATTTCTAAGAATTTTTTCATATCTCATGAATGCCGCACGTGCCATCTCTGTTCTGCACCTAATCTCTTTTTCCGAGTTCCATCCTGCATGGAGCCAACATCCTAAGTATTGAAGTTATGAAATAATCGACAGGAAATCTTGGTATTGGTGTTTTTCGGTATATTTTAAAAATTTTAAATATTATTATGTGTTGTAAAAATGTACCCAAAAACGAATAGTCGTAGAAAAAATTTATAAAGTTCTTCAGACACTGGTGACTAAAGTGTATTTTTATAAAACTTGTTACGTAATATACTGTTATTGAAATCAAATTGTTGCGGTTTAATTGAAATCTAAAATATTAAAAATCTAATATAATGATTAGTAATGCTTAAGATAGTTCAAAAGTAGGTCATTCTATAGAAATAAAAAATTATATATTAATACAATATAATTATAATGCTTATTTACTGCAGAGAAAATAAAATAAAGTTTTTATATCAAGAAATAAGGTAAGATACCGCACAGAAACGCTTAATTGCTTAATTCAATTATGAATTATGAGGTATTAAATAAAAAAAATTCAAATTCGGAACCTGCTACGCAGATTTCAGACTTTTTTCGACTAAAGCGGCTTTTGCTGTTTCTGTCGCACATCACACTTAACCTAACTTAACGACTATGCTACGAGTTTGCAAACTCTGTAAAGTGAATTTCAAATAGGAAATCTAATTTGATCTAAAATTTCATTGAAAGTCTCACGCACCCTGTACATAAAAGCCAATGTAACCAGCATTGTTAAATGTCAAATGGAGCATCTAATATGACCACTATACCGCGACAATTCAAAATTAGTTTTAGGCACTGCTGGGGCGAACCTAGTGAATATCAAAATTATAACACCAACTACGACGTACACCACTATTGGAATGAAATTGCTTCGTTTACCAGGGTATTATGTTTTATATTTAAATGAAAATTTCCAACCGGTTTAAAAAAACACTCACTAATCCGGTATAAATGTGAATGCCATAAATACAAAAATCCGAGCCACTTCCGACAATTCCGGGATTTTACCGCATGGGTTTGGGATAATTAATGAATAATTAACATAAGGTTTTATAATTGCGTTTATTCTGTTGTTTACATGGCATATCCAATGAATACATCTCTCTCTCTCTCTCTCTCTCTCTCTCTCTCTCTCTCTCTGTCTAACGTACACAGTTAAAAAAAGAGAACAATAGCAAAACCGACCAGAAAGTTAACGAATAGGTTTAATGGCAACTAGTAAATATTTTGTTTGAATGGCACGAAATTTATTAATCCCATAATCGGTTATTATTTTTAATCTATTAAATTGTGATTTTTTCGTGATGGTGGTAGAAAAAGTATACTATGCAACACGTTTGGTAAACTCTTTATCCCACTCGTTTATTAAGCACTCGCTCCGCTCGTGCCAAATAAATTTGCGTGTCTAATGCCGTTTACCGCATTTGTTGCATAATATGCTATAATTTAATAATTAATAGTATATAGTATAACATACTATTGTGCACGTGTGAGACTTCACAGGATTGGAAATTTTACGCTCTTTCCAAAAATCAAAAAATGGTGAATATAAGAAAAATGAAAGTTAGAGCGGGTTGTGAGATAACAAAAAATGATTGAGACATGTCATACACGCTATCTCCCTCGTCTTAAACAAAGTGTCTTAACAATGTCACATTTTGGTAGCGGTTTTTCGTCGATATTTCCCAAACCATTTGACCGATCGTAAATCTGAAGCAGCCTATCAAATGCACTAAGTTTCCGTAAAAAAAAATCATTTAACATTTGCTGTAGGGATAATAAGAACGGAGATCTCTGTATAGAGAAACGAATCTGGGACACATTGTATATAATATACAAGACATTAGTCGTTCATAAAATTCTGTACTGTACTATAGAACGCAATTTTTTAGTTATTTTAGTTGATTGTTACCTAGTTAGTGTTGCGTTTCTTTACAGTTGGGTGCAACACCCAAAAATATTTATGTTGATTATTTACTTTATAATAATATAAGTACCAACTATTTGTAAACATGTAGGTTAAACCTGAAATAGATTTGCACTTTTAAATAACCTTCGTGCATCAGTTTTGAAAAGGAAAAACAAAAATGAAAAACTATATGGCCTTGCACGTTCACCATAAATTAGAAATTCTATTATAATTTTTTAAAATATTTATTTAGTATAGCCATGTGGTGAAACACCCACTATTCATCAAGTAGATTTATTTGAAGTATTTTCTTAAAATTTTTCTCCTTCACTAAAGTCTTAAAGACATTTTCCAATCAGATACGTTTTCCTAAATAGAGGACTGCTAGAAAAATTTACTCCAAAACAATAATTATTATTCAATGCAATAAAAAAATAAGTCACACCTAGTAATATTTCTCTCTAAAAGCAAAAATATAAATTGATTTTCATTTTAAACCTCGTGTGTATGTTTTTATTGAATTATTAGTTTAAATTTACACTGTCGAAATAAATTTCATGTTATTTGAGTTTTTATGAACAAAAAATTAAAAAAAAACGTCACCACTGCTGTTAAAAACTGGTGCCGACTCCTTTCGAGAACATTAAGAAATTTGGAAGTCACGCGTTAAGTTGTTGCCGATTTGGGTAAGTAGGTAGCCGGAAAAATTGGCAATTGAGAATTATTTAATTTTCTCTGTTACTTTAATTGTTTTGATATTTTGCATTGTTCAAACGATATGTAATTCTTTTTTTTTATGTAGATAGTAAATCAGACAAATTTTTATAGATATTATCGATTAAATTTATTCAACACCAACATGCCCCGTGGATGTGGACCTTCTGGCTCTTGCGGGCCATGTCGGCCTTCAAGAAAGTCCGTCCCGCCCAAAAAGAAAACTGCTAAAAAAACCTCCGACAAGAAGGCCGTTAAAGGAACGTCCAAAACTGCAAAAAGTACAAGAGGAAAGGTAAATGTTTTTCAATAATTATGTTTTTCTTTTGCGAACTATCGAAAATTATTTTATTATAGGTTTCAACAAAAAAAAATGTGTGTAAAAGTGGAGGTTGCGACTATTCCAGTTACAGTTCTGACTATTCGAGCGACTGCAGCGACTGTTGCGATTCGTACACAGACAGTACTAGCTACACCGATTCTAGCGACGATTGTTGCCCTCCTAAAAGGAATGTTAAATCCGGTGGCTGTTGCAGACGCTAAACAACCGCAAAATTCGATGGACCAACACTTGCTATGTTTATATTTTTTGTTTTTATATTGTGTTTATTCTGTATGGTTTCGCGCTAAGCTTTTTTAAAAATTTGTTTACATTGTCTTGAACATTAAATTAAATACATTTTTTAATACATTTTACGAGGGTAGATTTTTTATTGGTAAGGTATGCTTTGACGTATCTTCCATAGCTCCCTGCAAATCAAAGACGCAAAAGATATATAACTGACAAAAATTAGGAAAATTAAATAGTAGAACACCTTGAAACAAAATATTATTCAGTAAAAAAATAATTTTCATTTTTCACGTTTCGTATTGAGTCTGCAAGCATCTTCATTATGCTCTCTAGTATTCTGTGCTATGAAAGCAGGAACTATTTTAATCTTCTTTATTTCGTTTCAGGAAATGGTCAAACTCCATGCCATATTTTGAAGGTCTTTTTTTTTCTTTACGCTTTTTTTGGCTACTGTTTCATGAGGCAATTCGTCCACCTTATAACCAAGGCACCCGGTGGGAATCGAACCCACAACCTTTTGTCGAGTTCGTTATTCATCCTTACTTTTACGACGTTGATATAAACCTCCTCTGCACCTAACTAGTGTTGTGTCAATCGTTCATTTTACGAGAACCCAAACAAACAGTGAATGATTTCGAAAAGGACCGAACATTTCAATCAATCGTTCATTTCAATACATTTTGTTGCCAACATAAGCGGCAATAGTCACTAAATTCGAATAGTCCGAACGACCGATTCAGATTCATTTGAATTTCAATTATTGTTGTGTCTAGATGCTCTGTTTGCTGTTTTAGTTAGTATAATGTTTATTGTTCTGCTTTTTATTTCATCATGATTTTATTAAAATAGGTGCTACGTATTGGGTTGTACGAGTAATACATTAATTTGTTTGAATTAAATACCTTTGTGGAAATACATATTTCATTCAATATTCAAGTCAACACATAAGCAAATCTACCGAATAATTATAACAATACTCCCATTCCTTACTCCTTTTCCGTGGCCTGACTCATTCATGCATTTAAATCTTAAACTAGTCAAATAATCGTATTCCACAAGGCGAATTCGATTTGTTTTGGTACGGTCGGTCGATCGGTTATTCTGTAATCCGTCACTTCAAACTTTAGATCGGTCAGGGCGGCAGCGAGAGCGAACAAGGTGATCGAATCGTTACGAAAAAGCAGGATTCGTCGCTCGATGCTCTGAAGTCATTGAATCAAAGTTACCGAATCAATCGCGTTTGACACAACTCTGCTCCTAACCTTACCACATGCAAATAGCCAAACAGAACAAAAAGAAAAAGTTTTAAGTTATTCAAAAATACGCGGCTGAAAAATTTTTACACTGTTAATTCACAATGTCTAGACTCGGTAGAATTCTAAAACTTTCCGCCCAAAGTGTTCTTTTTAAAAGTGGACGAGATTGTATGGTCAGAAATAATCTTAAAATAATTCAAGCAGGTTAATTAACTGTTCCTTTGTCTTTACTGAAATCTGCAGATATTTTTGTAGGTAAAACATTTCCCGTACGGTTTCAGCATTCTGAAGCCACCAAAGAAGAAGATTATCATTCAATAATTAAAGATACAGAAAAGCCGATAGGTAGATAGGGATACTTTTGACATTGGTTAATTTGTTGCATTCCTAAATATTTTTAGGTGAAAGCACAAAGCACGAGTTTCAAGCGGAAACTCGAATGCTCCTAGATATTGTAGCGAGGTCTTTGTATTCAGAAAAAGAAGTTTTTATTAGGGAGTTAATTTCTAATGCAAGTGATGCATTAGAGAAATTTAGATATATATCATTGTCAGATACAGAGAGTGGAAACATAAAAGATAAAGATAGAGCTTTAGAAATTCACATATCAACTGACAAAAATAATAGAACATTTACAATTCAGGACACAGGTATTGGTATGACTAAAGATGAGCTTATCTCAAATTTGGGAGTGATAGCTAAATCTGGTTCTAAGGTATGCAATATCTACAAATGAATCAACAGATTTATAGCCTTTCTTTCTCAGGCATTTTTGGAGCAGCTTAAAGCCAAACAAACTGCTGAAGAAAGTATAATTGGGCAATTTGGAGTTGGTTTTTATAGTTCCTTTATGGTTGCTGATAAGGTTGAGGTTTACACTAGGTCACCTAATGAACCAAATGGTTGGAAATGGACATCAGATGGGTATCTTATTTTCAATTTTTTTTTATATGGCAACATGTTGATTAACTCAAACATTCTAATGTGTGTATTTTAGGATGGGAAATTATGAAATTCAAAATGCCGAAGGAGTACAACCTGGAACAAAAATAGTCCTGCACTTGAAAGCGGATTGTCGCGAATTTTCTGATGAAGACACCATCAAGCAAATCATCACAAAATATAGTAATTTTATTGGAAGCTCCATTTATTTAAATGGAAAAAAGGCGAATATAATACAGCCTGTGTGGCTAGCTGATCCCAAAAGTGTTACAACCCAGCAGCATATAGACTTTTACAAGTTTATCTCCGGAAGTTATGATGTACCAAGGTACACCTTGCATTACAAAACTGATGTTCCAATGTCCATAGCCGCACTGTTATATTTTCCTGAGGGAAAACCAGGTGTGATTTTGTGTATTCAACTAAAGTAGAATTTTCTGGATTTTTTTTAAGGTTTATTTGAAATGTCCAGAGAAACAGGCTCAGGGGTTGCCTTATATACAAAAAGAGTACTTATAAAAAGTCATACAGACAATATTCTACCCAAATGGCTTAGATTTGTTAAAGGTGTTGTGGATTCTGAAGATATTCCTTTAAATCTCAGCAGGGAATTATTGCAGGATAGTAATCTGATTAGGTAAAGGGCTCATTATAAATTTTTTGCCCAATTGATGTTTATAATATTTTCGAAATTTTTTGGTTTTCATTGATTTTTCTTTAAAAGTTTATTAAGTTATATAGTATTATAATTTGTTTATAGAAAGCTAAGAGATGTGTTAACTTCAAGAGTCATTAAATTTCTTCATGATCAGTTAAAGAAAAACCAAGAGCAATATGAAAAATTTTATCAGGATTATGGATTATTTATTAAGGAAGGCATAATCACTACCCCAATACAAGCGGAAAAGGTGGCTGTTATTCTTTATTAATATATTTATGTAAAAGTTATTTTGTAGGAAAATGCAGCGAAATTGTTGCTTTTTGAGTCATCCCACTTAGAATCTGATAAAAAGATTACTTTAACAGACTATATTTCACGTGCTAAAGATTCTAGGGACATATTTTATTTGGCGGCACCGAGGTGAGCAGTAATAAAAATATATAAGTGTGGTGGTGTTAAGTTTTCAATTTTCTTCTTAGTCGGACTTTAGCAGAAGCTTCTCCTTATTATGAGTCACTGAAAAAGAGATCGCAAGAAGTTTTGTTCTGCTATGAGCCTTACGACGAGCTAGTGTTAATGCAACTTCAACAGTTTCAAGGCCATAAGTTGATATCTGTAGAAAAAGACATGAGGGACGATAAAGCTGCCAGTGATTTAACAAATTTGAGTAATGTGGTAAGAATTTTGGAGATGTTTCCAATTCACCTTGTTTTTGAGCAGGCGATGACAGTTTGAAACGTAGCGAAATTAATGAGTTGTCCGACTGGTTAAAGAGCAAGTTGAGTGGAAAAGTAGTGACTGTAAACGCGACGACCAGATTAGAAAATCACCCTTGTGTGATTACAGTTGAAGAAATGGCGGCCGCCAGACATTTTATCAAGACCCAAAGTCATAGTTTGTCCGAAGACAGACGTTATGCTATTTTGCAGCCGCAACTCGAAATAAACCCAAGGTAATATTTATATTTACAGAGTGGTCCGCATTATAATGAAGAAGCTTTAACTGCATATTGAGCACATACAAATCAGTAAAAAACTTCAAATATCCTAAGCTGCTCCATTTTGAAGATACAAAAGATGTGTGGAAATATTGGAAAAAAAAGTTTTTTGCTTCGTGAGACTCGTTTAATTAATTGAAATAATAAAAAAAGTAGGTAGGTATGTCTACTTAATTAGACATGCAAACAAAAATAAATATTTTTTCTCAAAAAGGTTTTTTTTTAGCTAAATAACTGATGAGATCATTTTTATTGGATCAGAGTATCTAAAATAATTAATAAAATCGCGATAAACCATTGTGGCACCACTTTTTTAATTATTTAAATCGGTCTCATGAATGCCACTGGTTAAACAAAAACAAATTTATCTATGCTAAGTTTGAAAGGCAAATCCGTATCTCTGAAACGAAGCGTTCCAGGACATAGGTTTTTTATGAACTTTTTCACTTGCTTCATTTGCTGAATATGCTGTTTCTCGATTATAATTCGGTCTACCCTGTATTTATTCGTTGTTTTGTTTGGTAGGCACCCAATAATAAAAAAGTTACATAAATTGAAAAACAGCGATCCACAGTTGGCTGAGCTGCTTGCAAATCAGGTAAGCTCCATGGTATTTATTTAAATTCAAACGAAAGACTAACAAATTCGGATATAATTAAACTTAATTTTAATTTAATTCAATTAAACTTTTTTTTTAATTTTGTAATCATCAAATTACTACTACGTTCACAGGTGATGTTTCTTTTTTACAGCTGTTTGCCAATTCCATGGTAAGTGCAGGTTTAGTTGAAGATCCCAGGGTGTTGTTGACTAGTATGAACGATTTGCTTGTAAAGGCATTGGATAAACATTAAATTGTATTAAAAATTATATTGTTTTATATTAGTTTTATGTAAATAATTCCAAGTGTAAGTTTAAGACTACATTTATATTAAAATTTTTCTTGGTGTATTGTTTCTTTGGCAGTAAATAGTTTACTGCACCTCCTATGTTTTGCAGAACTAAAAGAAGGGAACTTTGCCAAAGGGTCATATAACATGATAAACTAACTATATGTCAGATCAACCCGAAGTTAATGGCAACCATAGATTTTGAAAGGAAATATTTTAAAAGATTTAATTAAATTTTTAATAAATGTAATTAAAAATTATTGTCGTGTAAGTTTGATTTCTTTATTCAGATAGACAATGTATGTGCCTACATGAATGTGAGGGGATTCTTAAAAAGGCGCACTTTTACGAATAATAAAATTTAATATAAAACCACTGTTTTTTGATTATAAGTGCACTATAAATAAATATTTCTCTATTTTCATAAATCATATCATATAAGTTGTCCAATAGTAAATTCCTTCCACTTATTTTCCAGTGATCTATTTTAATATTTTTGAATAACATTAAAATTTAAAATGGCTTCTTCCCAATAACTGATAAAGTGATCGGTTTCAATCAAGTGGTATTGTCACACGTTCGGTACAAGTACATAAGTTGAAACCGGCTCCAAAACTTTATATCAATATTTAAAATTCCCGCTCAAAAAGGGTGCCCGGATGTGAAGAAATTTGCTTGTCATGTGATTTAAAAGATGTAGAATAATTAACGAAAACCGCCCGCTTGAGCAAATACGTCAGAATCGCATTATGTAAGAAGTTTTATTACCGCATTTTGACCTAAAAATTGTTTGTTTAATCCCGTTTTTGACAATTACGTAGACGTCCCCAGCTCTGAAACGTCACGAACTCACGCTCATCACCGATACCATTGGCCCGCTGCCGTTGCTAATCTCGAAACCGGCCAATAGCAATCAAGCGATTGCCCGCACTCCACCTGAAATTTTCATACCGTCATATGACCCATTCTTGCTGGTGGCAGTCGTGTAGGCCATATTTGTCAGTGAGTTCGCTGGTTCCGTCGAGTGTTGTGCGCTTTACAGATTGTCCTGACCTGTAAATACTCTCTAAATACCTGCAACAATGGCTGAGCTTCCAGAAACTAACCCTGTATATGGACCCTTCTTTGGAGTCATGGGAGCAGCGTCGGCAATCATATTTAGTTGTAAGTAAAAATTCCGTGCTACTGGCGGTATCGATTAGTCGAGGACTCCTTGCTTTCGAAATTTTTGATTTACGTTTTCTCACTTCTATTTCAATCTAACTGCTTAATTACGCATTTTAATAATATAGGTTAATCCCTGGATGTGGAATTTTGGGGGTTTACGGTCGTTATAGGGTTATTATTTGTATCTTTCATGGGCGTAGCGCGGAGTCATATGCTAAGAGTTCACATTCACGAGTTCCTTTGACGGGAGCAAAATCAATGTTGTCTCTCATGATTTTGATGACTCCCATTTCATGAATTATGTTCCTGGCGTTTTGTTGATTAACAGAATTATCATTTTTAATTAGTTATGTGGTCGGTCACATGCTTTTTGTTTGACCCACCCGCATTTTGTTTTTCGTATTTCGATCTGATGATTACTGCCTATTTATTAAAAAAACCAATTATAAGTACTACGATTGGATATAATGCAGTTTTCTTTGTCTAAAACTTAGGCGATGTTCAATTCAAGTGCGTTTACTATTAGTATTTTTAATTGTATGGCAAATGTCCAAAATGCAATTTAGTATGGCTTTTGTATACATTTTTTTCCAAAGATATTCCGGAAATACTTATACCGAGAAACAGGTGGGTGTTTTCCTCTGTTGAGTACCTGTGCCGAATCATGTGACCAAGAATCCTTCGCCAGTCACATGAATTATTGTTGCCGGTTATAACATTTTCGCTTGTTAAACATTGCATAAGTGCCGAACGCTAATCTGTGAATTTGTCAGTTTTTAGCATTACAAGCTTTGCGGTTTAATTATTAAGAATTTTTAGCAAATCTCAACGTAATTAGTATAAATGGAGAAATTGCTGGAACTATTTTATCTCATTTTAATGAATTTCAAGATTATAACTGATAAGGCCAAGCATGTGATTTGTTGAATTTATCATGTGCTACGCGAGAAATTTTATTTGTCCCAAGTTAAACACGTAAATAAATAATTCTAATTCTTAAAATAGTAAAGTATACTTGCAGAAATATACTTCGCACACATTCCACGCCAGTCGTTCCGCCACTGGTAATATCTCGATGAGGTGAAACTATTTAGGGCGTTGAAAATAAAGGGTGTAATTTTTCATAGGAAACTTTCTTAAAAAAGTACTTATCAAGTCTTTGCAGCACTTCTCTTTGAGATTAAATGTGGTGGAGGTGCACTCAAATCTTATTAGAATTTACACACCTCAAAATAAGTAAGAAAAAAATAATGAAGAATATATATACTTATCAGAAGAATGTACATCAAAATATGCACTACATTTCCTATAATAATAATGAATCCGTATTTATAATGAAAATAAAGTAAAAGTGCGAAAAGTAGTAAAAAATCAAGTCAATGGCTTCTTAGTTAATAAAACAATTTTAAAAGTTGAAGTTCAAGGTAGTCACTTAGAGGAAATGTCAGATTGCAATAATTTGCCACTATTGCTTACAGGCCCAAAAAGTTACAATTATACAAAATTATAATCGTTTTTGAATAAAAACTGCAAAAAAAACGTTTCTCGTAAATTCCAGATATGTCCGGAAAAAACTGATAATTTAACTCGGTTTTAAATTTTATTATATTAAATTGTTGTAAATTTTAAAAGTTGTCTTTATTTATTATTTATGGTATTTTTTGCAACTATATATTTATCAAATTTCTTTAATTTTTAATTTAAGATAGTAATGTTTTGTAAATCGTCTAGCTTTTGAAATAACTTGTCATTGGTAAAAACGTTCCAAAAAGAGTCGTAGCTTTAGATGTTAACCTAAGTTTAAACGGTAAAATTAAACCATACAACATTCGTTTACCTTTTAATATTTTCAGGTAGATATTTACTTCAAAGCAACATTTGACGGCGAGGAGAACTTTATTTTTAACTTGTAACAACTGTTTGTTTATATATGAAACAGATAACTTACAGTTTCCAGGACCAATTAATTTGGCCAGAGTTTCTGAATTACTCGACTATCTATATACACGCACTGCTGTTGATTTCGCACTATTTTTTTCATAATCAATGTTCAATTGGGGAACTTTTAAATGGAATATCGAGTTGGGTAAAACTCATCCTTTATTTTTCAAGCGTTGGGAGCCGCTTATGGAACTGCCAAGTCGGGGACCGGTATTGCCGCCATGTCGGTAATGCGACCAGAGCTGATTATGAAATGCATCATTCCCGTCGTCATGGCGGGTATTATTGCCATTTACGGCCTGGTCATAGCTGTACTTATCGCCGGTAACATCGAAAATCCGACCAACTACAGTTTATTCAAGTAAGTAAAATGAAAATAAAATACACAGCAGAATATACTACAGAGAGGGAGATTTCTTATTTGTGGGCTTTAACGACACAGTTAAATTTTACCTACAAACTAAATGTGTTATGGTTTTGAGAAAAACGTTTAAATTAAAAAAATGGAACGTATACTAGCACCCACACCTTGGTTTTTAAAGGAAGATAGTGAACTAATGTTATTACCCTCAGTTGGTTAACATATATGTTCACTTACACAACAGACTGCCCATCATCTGACTAACCAGGGTTGTGTGAATACTCTAACTTTACACTCTTCCCATGGTACCACCATATTGGGTGTCTAATAAACTGTGTAAATAATTATATATAGCAAAAATAATAATCATTGTTAATTTGCCAATAGCATTGTGTAAAGCAAAAGAACATGGAAAAATCAACTCATGCCGATCCTAAATAGTATTAAAAAAATCTTAAAAATCTGTTTTTTTCGGTTTTTATTGAAATGCGGATTCTGTTTATCAATTGTTTTTCTTTTTTCAGAGGTTTTGTGCACTTAGGCGCAGGTCTGTCGGTAGGTTTCTCCGGTTTAGCGGCCGGTTTCGCCATCGGTATTGTGGGAGATGCAGGGGTACGGGGCACTGCGCAACAGCCCAGACTCTTCGTAGGAATGATCCTTATCCTCATTTTTGCCGAAGTACTAGGTCTTTATGGTCTCATCGTCGCCATTTTCCTCTACACCAAAAATTAAAATCGTCATTTGTGGTTATATTAAAAGTTTTTTCGAAATTCCTCAGTCCTCGTCCTGTATCTCTCCTTGTCGTTGGACCGTTGTCGTGCAACCGCCCTTGGTCATTTTAGTTATTAATGTTTCCATGTGTAAAAAAATTATGTAAAAATAAACCACAAACCGTAGCGAACATGGTGGCCGGTACCGAAACCAACGGTATCCATTCTATCTCCGTGTAAATACGTGTAACCACCAAGTAAAGTTTTGTCAGCTCGCGAAGGTCTACTTCTTAAATTACTGTATAGTTGTAGTCGTTAGGTTACTTTATTTCACTATAAAATATATTTAAGGTGGCTCTATTGAGTCACATGTTGATTAGATTTGAAAAGAGTAGCACAATTTATTTTTAATTTCATATCAAAGACATCTTGTTCATAAGATAAGTTGAATACCTAGGTGACTGTAAGGTTCAATTATTTTAATTTTTTCTTTGATTTCACACATCAATCTCAATTTTTTTGTTTTCAGATTGTGCTATGTTTTACACACAAACACGAGTAGAAATAAATTTAGACTTTGACAGTGTAGTATACCATCTTCTCCTTTTTTCTTTTTCAAGATTCGTGCCCCGCGCGACCCTAAACTATATTGCTTTAGATGGGGCTCTTTAATTTCTTATTGTATCCAGCCTATAAAGCATCCACAATATACTAAAATCATGTAAATAACAGCGTATCGATGTATCAGTGGTTTTGTGTCTGTGTTAGCCCGTCTTTTGCGGAAAACAGGGTTGCCGCATTGTCGATCAGTTACGTGCAAGTCGCAATCTTGTTGTCCCTATCAGTAAACCATGATGGTATATTCTTGGTTTGTTTTCGATCATCCGCAGTCATTGTAAAATTCAACGGTTAAAATAGCTTTGGCAATGTCTCTTGTCATACAATAGTATATTATTTGAGATCGATAGAAGTGTGTCATGTTTCTTGAGTGGTCATAGACGACAGGGGCATTTGAACCATTGTAGAGTATTATTATAACATAAAACGGTTTCTGTAATGAAGGGAACAGCAAAATTATTGTGTTGAAAATAAATAATTTGTACATTCCATTACAATTTTTGTTTTATCGATTTTTGTTTTTCATTTTGTCTCGCTTTCGTGCGTTTCGATTATGTACATACGATATAATACATTGTAGTAAGTATGAGAGAGGCTTTGTTGTTTTTGTTGAAAGGTTTTAGCTGAAAAAAAATTATGAGCTTGATTTCCCGCCATATAAGGATGTTGTAATTTTTCCAAACACAGTTAAGAAGAGAAACAACAGTTGTGATGTAACCGAAGTAATATTCTATCGCTAATATTACCCGCTAGCCTAGTATTACTTCGTATTTTTGTTTTTAATCAATACAACATATTTTGTTAATGTTACTCACCGTGTGTTTTAATCTACAACCTTGATTTGACTATAGGATTTCCCCGTATTTGATGTCATAGTCATTTTGCTTAACTGTTCTTTCCAGAATTATTTTAATCACATAGTTTAACCAAAGTTTTGTTTTTTGTTACATTTGACTGCCTTTAGGGACTACAGATTGAACAAATAGGCTACTTGACAAGTTTCTGGAAGTGATAGGAACTTCTAATTCTTTTAGGTATTGAAAAAGTGTCATGTGACATTTAAATTTGAGGAAAATAGTTCCTTGATATCTTAATGTATGATGAATAATTGATTTCTTCTAAAAATGTACGTTTACATCTTTTTAATTAGCTGTTTGAAAAGGTATAGGGTTACTTAAAACTCTTTATGTTAATATTCATGGTAAAAGTCCTAGTAATACCGAGTGAACTTACTTAAGATTGGAAGAAGTAGCTGCAGCTAAAGAAAAAATAAATTTTTGTTGAGTTCCTGGATAAATAGGTAATTATAGGATGATATTAATATTCAACGCAATATATGGAGAGCCTATTGTATGCTTTTAAGCCAAAATTTTGAAAAGCCTCACTTGTGAAAGCTGAAGGATGCTTCCGAATGGATCGTTCGTTATTTTGTTGCTTTATTTTTTTTAAATACTGTTATGCTGTGCTGTGAATTCTCTTGATTCAAAGTAACGGCAAAAACGCTAAAATGTTTTTAGAGTTATGAAAAGCGTGCGAAATACTACTAGCCAATATCATATAAATAATAAAAATAGTGCTAAGCGAATGAATAATTCTCTTATTTAAGTTTAATTGGCACAGAACGGTAGTTTGGGCTCAAGAATAGAGATGTCGCTATAGGATATCAACAAATTTATACAGCAACGGTGTTATTAACTCTGTGTAAATGCTTTCTCTAACCAGCAAAAAGCCTAATTGTAGACTAATATACCAATAAAATATAATATTGAGCAACCAAGGTGCGCCAAGGTCTATAGTTTCAACAGAACAAAGATAAGGACAGAGTCACATAGCTGACTAGCAACTTTGTCTCATTACTTTTTTTTCATGAAAAGTAGCATGGACATCGTTTTTTACTGTATAATAAAAGCGCGTAGGAAGTATAAATGTTTGATATGATGCTTCATCATTAATGATTTTTTTTTATTTTAGTCTTCATTTTCAGGTATTTCATTAGAACATGGAAATTGTTTAAGAGAATGATTCGCGAATTGCCCTCTTTAATCAAAAGTCTCAATATGGTTTGAAGGTTATGAGTGTACTTAGTGATTCTTCGAGTAATAAGCCAAATTTTATTTTATATTTCCATATTTTTACAAATACTTAAATCAATTTTTTGTTATCAATACCTAATCCGTCAGCAGACTTTTAACTTGACTTTTTTGTGTATCAACCGAAAAATTTAAAACTATCAAGAACTGGCAATGCTTGAAAAACTCTGTTCCCACACTTTTTTGTCAAAAAGACAACGCTTACCTTTATGAGGAAAAATATCTTTTTTATATCATTCCTGAGAGGAATTATTTACATGAATTTAATCTGTAATTGTTAAGCTATATTTTGATCTAATATGTGGGTGTAGGATGAAAATCAATACCCAAGTGACATGCGCTAACATGACATGCATTTACCCGCCGCTGTCTCGGGTTTCAGATATTGAACTACCGGTAAACCATATTTTACAAAAATGTAGGTAAAACTTGTTAATAAGCGTATGCCAAAAGCAATAAAAAATTGTTATTTTTTTACGATTTTTTTTAGAGCTATGAGTGGTTACTGGTTGTTTCCCGCTTGAGTATGCGTCAGGTAAGTAAAAACATATTCATTTTAAAGCTTTCACTAACTTTTAAAAAATAACTTAGCCATGGCAAGAATGTTAGTTAAAATTGACTTTAAACAATAAGCCACTGGGAATTACTGATGACTCAGTTTCTGATTATTGGGTCAAGTCGAACAGGTACACATATCTTTATCGCCAATTCAGCGAATTCTTAACGCCACAATTGTGAAATAGAGGTTATACCTATTGTTGTTAATGACGTATACATTATTGATTAACCTTAAATTCTAACTTAGCTGCAAATGGAATGGTGTTAGTGTGGTTATCCATACACTAAATGACTGTTTATTTACTAGAGGATATTTAGTATTATCTATCAGAGCGAATGAAGTTTTATCTCAAACCTGTTCAAGAATTGCTGTGTTGCTAATCATACATACAGGGTGTCTACTTTTATAAGTTAAGTTTTTTTTAAGTTACATCTTAAGATGCATTTTTTTTATATCCCTCACCTTCACCTTTCAAAATCTCCAAAAGGTGTGCTTGGAATTGGAATCTAAATAAATAATAATATAAATTTTTGCAAAAAGTGTAAGTTCTCGGAATACGTTATCATTGGGGGGACACGTACTTATATATGGCTTCAAGTTTCAACACGAGAAAAATCTGGCACTCGAGAGTCTGTCATAATATTATAATCTCACACATTTGCAAACTTCGATTAAAAAGTATCAATACTAATACGATATCAAAGTTGGTCAAAAAGGCAATTTCAAGGTTGCTCTGTGCGCCTTAGTATTGTGTCAATTAAATAAGTAAATTTGTAACCAAAAACCTGCACCAATTCGTTACCAAATAAAATATATACACAGTGCTCCGATCCCTCAGACGAGTCGCATTGTTTGCCATGCCATAGGTTTTAATATTTGCACTATAATGCAAAAATCTACTTTGATATTTCGTTTCAGTTACACGCTTGCAACTCTTGACGCTGACTACATAACAGTGGGAATTTCTTCATTTGGAAAAAAAATCAGTAAATTAAAGAAAATGTTTTTTTGGTAAATATGCATCGTATTTTAAACTGAGCTCTTTGATGTAAGAAAATCTTATATAGGGTGTCCGAAAATTCATATATGACAACCTCATCTACTATTTTTTTAAAAAGCAACCCAATTTTTTTTTATAACTATATATTTTTGAATAATATATTAAGTTACGTAAGCGTGCGAAAATAAAATTTTTTGTTTCTTTTCGTTTAAATGATTTTAATCAAATATATAATTCAGTGTAGTGCAGTGTGAAGTTATTCATTTATTCAGAGAGAAGATTTTCAGTTAAGGATATTGTCTATGAGAAAATGGACATTTTGAGCATTTGAGGAAATTCGGGACACGCTGTATATTTTTTTACCAAAAGAGGGTGCAGTTCAAAATATTAATCAACGAGCAAATTTCTGGAAAAAATTCTTCGATTTACCGAATTTACTTCACACTGTAGATAGTTTGTTATTATATATTAGATGCTCGAGCTCATTAGACGTTTAAGCAAAATATTACATCGTGTATTAAAGTACTGAAGCATAAATAAATATTATGAATTAAAAAAGAAAATAACTAATAATAATCAGTCACGTAATGGTGCTTCGCGTAACGCTTTAGTAAATAATTCATGTATTCTTGATAATAATCGACGTAAATTGCCAGAACACACAAACGGAACTGTAAAGGTCGTGAATATTTCGAATTAAATTCCATTAAATTCCGCTTCGTTTATCTCCGTTTGAAGATATCCATTTGTAAACAGTCTTGTTAGCGATGCTTTATTCTAATATAATATGATTATTTCAATTCCCCTGTGGTCATTCATATGAATGGTGTATTGAGTGCTGCATCGCGTACCGACCATCGTCTCGATATCATCTACGTTGGATTATTGTGATTGTGTTCTTAAATATTTACCTATAAACAGAGTCGAAGGGTATGGAACAAAACGCTTCGCGAGTGCCTCACATCGGTGTAACGGTCAAACAAACTGACGTTTACAGCGACTCATTAAAAGTACTGAAAGTGATACGTCCACAATGGAAGCCTGAGGCTATAAAATTTAAGGTAAGTTATTAACATTTGGGGTATAAATTGTTTTAAAATCCTTTTGATTGTTGCAATATAAATTTTATTTTATAAGAGTATAATGACATGGTTTACAATGTGATGCAATTATTACAAAAGAGCGACGCAGAAACTTCTTATACATTTATGTATCCGTGGTGGACGAGCTTTCCATGAGTGCGTCAATACCCTATGAGAATAATTTTTTAAATTTTTTCCGTTCATAAGACCCGCACAAACGAATGAGTAGACACAAGATTTTACAGTTTCAAAGATACATACCCATTTTTTAAACATTTTTTGTTTTTTGCAACTTTATTAAATAAATTAACTCAATAAACGATAATTAATAAATTGTAACCTATTTAATGAAGTTTTTTAAAAAATAAGATTTTTATTGTTATTGATGTTAACGCAATTTCATTATCGCCGCAGAGTAAATTCTAAATCTATAAGCAAATATAAATTAATCAGTAGACCTATTTTTACCAGCTTTCGTGCTTAATTTTACAGTTAAAATTAATTCGTAATAATATTTGATTTAAAAAAAACATGTAGTAGCCTACTTGTAAACTGCAAAGAAGGCTTTAACAATGTGTGAAAATAGAAATAATAGTTACGCCCAATTTACCCGTCATTGTTAATTTGAAAATATTACTTCTCCTTCTTCTTCTTGTTACGTTAGGGCTAAGGCCTGCGTTTCCATTAATATTTTTTCAGGAGGAGTTGGGATGCAGAAAACCAGCTTACCACCTGGACGACCACCTAGTCGTCCAGGTAGTCGAGGGATAAAGGGTTTTTCCTCTTCTAATTTTAACTAACCAATCATATGGCACGGCTACGTGGTCTCTATATTCCCTTCTGGTTTCTTACCCACCTTACTGCATCTTTCATACATCCCTTATTTGTTCACTTTCATAATGAATTTTGAACTTTCATATGAATGATTAAATTGTAAGAAGAAAATAAACTTTTTGATGGATACAAATTTCGAATTGATAATTGGATGAATGGATAATTGAAGCCTTAATTTTAATCTTTTATTTCAAACGTTCAGAATTTGCAATTTTTAAATATGATCTAATATAAGAGAACAAAGCAAATTAATACAATAAATTGAAAACTCTTAGAAATCATTTAAAATTGCCAGTATTTACTGTCATTATTATTGGCTAGGAAAATTTTATTAAATAAATAAATCTAAGTTTGCAAGATACAGGTAATGGTGTCAAAAATACTGTAGGCCCACTATATTACGTTCGGCAGAAAAGAATTTGTTCTGTTAAAGCGGTTGTCAAAATATATTTGTCCAAAGTTCTCAAGCTCTCAAAGGGTTACATTTTTGGATTCGGAATTAAAAACTCTGTTCAGGGTAATAATAAATAGGGGCTTCTTGTCAAGAGGGGTTGTTGAAGATGGCTACAACAAAAATAAACGGGATGCACGTGCAATTTTTCGTCTTTGCTAAAATCTCCAAGAGAGAAAACGGTTCTAAAACGGATTTCTCTTGAGGAGTAATATATCTTGATTAAACGTGTTTAATGTAGAAGGGATGAATGTGTGTAGCTGTTGACAGATGGAATTACGAACAACCTGGTGGCATGTCTTCCCGAGCTCTATGAAGAAGACGATACTGTGTTAATCAGAATTTACGGGAACAAGACTGACCTATTGATAGATCGGCAGGCTGAGAATAGGTAGTATAACTCCATTCGCAGTAGTATTGAACGAAAGGATTATATCAAATTTAAGGAACATATTGTTGCTCAACAAATATGGGTTGGCGCCGAGTCTGTATGCGACATTCGTCAACGGGTTGGCTTATCAATTCGTGCCTGGTTGTACTCTCAATACGGAAAACGTGAGGAGGCCAGAAATCTATCACTTGGTGGCTACGAATATGGCGAAATTGCACAAGGTCAAGGTGGACGGTGTAGAACATCCCAAGGCCAATATATGGAAAAAAGCCCGAAAGTTTCTGGATACTGTGCCGGACGCATTTTCTAAAGAAGAAACTCGAAAACGGTAAAAATCATTTGAAATAAGATTAATTTAACAAAAATTAGGAGTTCCAATTAAGACTAAAATGCATGGTTGTTACCACTTTCGTTCGAATTTTTCGTTTTGCATCGAACCATTTCTGAGTAAAAAAATAACTTCCACATATAAAATATTTAATTTGATTAATTCCGGATATATCCAGTTTCTTATGATTTGTGCCGTCAATTTTGGTGGAAAATTTTATAACTTTATTACTTGCTTTTCGATTAAATAAATAAGATTAACTATTTATAGCGGATATAAAATTAAATTCCTAGCTTTTTATTTAATAGAAATTAGTTAAAACAAAAATAATAACGTGACTGGTTGCCAGATACCTTTTCTTGCAATTTTGAAAAGATTGATTTTTTCAGAATATCGGATAAAATTTTAATGGATTAAAAAAATATTTATATAAATATTTAAAAATCTATAATTATATTTGCCAAATTTTATTAAAGAAAAACTTGGTGCAAAGCAAAAAGTTAATATTTAGAACATTAATTTTTTTCCACGACTACTGGACCAGAATTGTACTATGAATGCCCACCAAATGAAAGAAATGATTTTTAAGAAAGTTCTGGAAAGTTACGAATTTTTTTAAAAATTTTATAGCACCCTAATCCTGGAAACTGTTATAAATAAATGATTTGCGTCATGAACATTTCCAATTTTAGAAATAATGGACTAATTAGATTTAGACTTTTCACAAATCAACCTGTATTTTAAAAATTAAAAAGGAATTTGGCAACAATGTATAAATAAGGATTGAATAGTCGTCAAAAAAGGTAACTTTTTTCTAATTTAACTCGTAAAAGGGACACCTTGCTTTTTTTGATCAGATATAAAACTGTATAACTATCAAACTTGTAGAATGCTGTGATCCCATTGCAGATTTTTGGAGTTGCCTTCAAAGTCTCGAATTAACCAAGAACTCGAGCTGCTCAGAAGGGAATTGGACCGGTTTAACAATGACGTCGTATTTTGCCATAATGATTTGCTGTTGGGTAACATAATTTGGAATGAAAGTTCGAACCACGTGACGTTTATTGATTACGAATACGCTGGTTTCAATTACCAGGCTTTTGACATCGCAAATCACTTTGCCGAATTTGCGGGTGAGTAATTTGACAGCGCTAAAATATATACTTCTGATCGCAGCGTCAAATTTACGCCGCTCATAAAACACAGGCTTTTCGTTTGTTCTTTTCTGCGAATAGATCATAATATTTTTAACCCGTAAAATTTTTATTTTAAAAATTTAAATTCTAATCAAAAGCCTTTACAACCACACCATATCCAAACCATAAATATATAATAATAAATTATTTTAAAAAACTTTCTAGATTTCGGCTATTGCACATCACCTCATGCAGAATCCTATGGTTTTTGGATCAAATTTTTGCAGATCGGGGGTTTGCAGATTGCTAACTGCTAATAAATATAAAAAAAAATCGCAGTATACACAAATTTTTGTTCTCATTTAAAATTTAAAAAATCATACACTACAAGCTTCATTCGATTAAGACAAGGTTGTTTAGTTTATATTCCCAGTTTTTTAAATAGCGGCACCTCTGAACGCACGTGAACGGTCAAAAGCTTTCATCTTTGTTTTATTTTTCACGGTTTTAGATTTTTTAGAGAATTTGAGAAATTCGTTTATTAAATATGTAATGTTGCATTTGTCAACAAAATTGAATTTTACTATGTAATAATAAAAGAAGTGAAAGACCTTGAACCGTGAATGAAAATTTTAAATTAGAAATTACGAGAAACGCTGTCATTCCTTTAAGAGAACTTAAAAACAAAATTAGGAACATTTAAAATATCTGAAATTATTTTAGAATTAATACAAAGAAACATATTTGATTGAAACTTTTCTAAAATAATTTTCTGGTTTATGGTTGCATTGATTTTTTTCAATTTTGCTCTAAATTTTTGTTCATTTGGAAGAGGACAAATAAAACGTATTGAATAAACGGACGAATAAAAAAAGCACTTTGATATTTCTAGCATAATTTTCTTTCAATAAAACGCTCAGCGCACAAAAGAACTTAGAGAATATCGCTCTAATATTTTTCACTGCAAACTTTAGTTCTCATCGTTTCCTGTATTTCGTAACGGCAGGAGTCGACGAGGTCGATTATTCCAGATATCCGAGTAAAACTCTTCAAATGGACTGGCTCAGCACATATCTCGTGGAATTTACAGGCAACATCCCGACGAAGGCGGAGCTTGATTCGCTTTATGTCATAGTAAATAAATTCGTGCTTCTGACCCACTTGTTCTGGGGCATATGGGGTCTCATCCAAGCTGAACATTCCTACATCGATTTTGATTTCATTAAGTAAGTATTAACCTGTCCCAGAAATATGTACCATTCATTCTGGTAGGCTGCGAAGTTTTTATGGTTAGAAAACGAAAAAAAGGCAATTTTTAATTTTGTTTTCAGGTACGCTAAGACAAGGTTTGACGAGTACTTTAGCAGGAAGGAGCATCTGATTGCGACATGATAAAAATCGAATACTACTTTAATTTTATTAGAAACAAATAGACAATAATTTTTCAAATGTTTTTAAAATCGAATAATTTTGAAGGGGCTCTAAAAAGTACACGATTCCGCGATTCAGTCGATAAGTTTTATTTTGTTCTTGTATTCTTTTTGAGAACACGCACCAATAATGAATACACCTTAAAACTTTAGAAGAAAAGTGCGGATGCTCAAATATTTGCTTCTGTTGAGCAGATTTATCTGAAATGTGGTTTTTAAGCAGTTAAGCGGCAAGCTTTCAACAAATATTTTTAATTTTTTTATCTTCTCCTTGAAGTGTACAAGGGAAAAGTAAAGTATGTTAATTAAATGCAGAAAATATATAAGGCTTACTAAATATTCGGCGTGAACTTCAAAATTTATTAAAAACATATCGAACTTTTCAAAAGTTTGGCGAATGTTTTTTTCCCGTTACTATTCGACAACGTTTTAATTTTATGGCGAGTTGAATTTGATATTTTTTTAGAAGAAGAAATTGTTGGCATTTTGGATCAATATTTTATTTTATAGTTCCAATAAAGTTATTTTAAAACGGCTATATTTTTCGATTAATATCCTTGCCGGTGCTGGTTTTCGTTATGGTTGTAACAATTTTGTTACCCAATTTTTTCGACTTCATCTTCACTTTTCCCACGACCTTTCCTATTTTCTTTACACGCGGTGGTACATTTTCGGTATATACTGACGCCAGTTGTGCAATTTGGTCCGTCGTCAATTTGTTCGACATATTTTCGGACGTTGACTCGGACGGATCGTGTAGGAATAATTCAATTTCCTTAATTGAATCATCCGAGCTTTCTGTACTTTCGTCGCCGCTGGTGACACCATCTGACAACGTTTGGGCACTACTATCTGCCGTCTAGAACGTTTAATTTATTTTAACATTAAAAAGTTCCACATATTCCATGGTCCCAAATCTAAAGAGACAATGAAAATATATTCAGAAAGAAGTGGCAACGTCGATATTTTAAATCGTCTTTTCATCTTTGAATTTCGATTATGTTTAGGTGTTGCCTCCACTGATTTGTTGAATAAACTTCCACCAGTGAAATTTTTATTATTGCGTGTTTGAATTTGTACAGAGGCAGGTCATGGGTTTAAAAGTTATAATTTTATCCATTGATACAAAAATGACAAATACTTTTCAAAACTGGAAACCTTTATTTTATCCACTACCCCGCGAGGCAGATAAAAAATTCTTTCCTATGTTACGAGAATATGCTACTAACCGGTGACACCAAAGAATTAATAAGGAACTTAAAAATCTTCAAGAATAAGTAACTGAATAGGGAACATTTTTTATGTATAGAAATAACGCATACCAAATATCAAAACTCAAAATCCAATATTTAAGTTGCTATAAATAATTCAAGTTGTGACACCCGGCTATTCCCTTTAAACGACGGTCGTGTAAAGGTGTGTTTGGATTTAATCTACCCCAGTTTGTATTTGTGCTTAGTGTGCTTTACATGATCATAATGAAAGCAACATAAAACAATATAACAAATCGTGCCATCGTGTTTGAGTACAACCCGTAAAATACCAGATGGATAAACTTTTTTTATTCGTTTACCAGAAAATAAAAGCCGTTATTTTATGTTAACATTATGCTCAGGTGTAGCTTTAGCCTTAACCGTGCAAACATTGTTAACTCTTCGACCTTACACCCATCCTATTGCAGCCTCCATAGGAATGGCATCCTGATCTATATAAAACGAAATGTGTTTTCTTTTTTGATCTTTTGTTGAATGTCTAAATCGTATTAACTAATATATTAATCGAAAAGGACGGTAAAAATTGATGCGCCTCGGGAGATTGTGACAGGTTCATTCGGAACGACAAATCTTATTCAATGAAAACCAGATTTGAAGTGGCCGCGCATGCGTATATTGAATGGCACTTTTCAACATATTTTGTTGCATGGTGGCTTCAAAAGTTCCTGTAAAGGGCTTCTATAAATTTATACCCTATATGGTTGCTAGAGTATTTTTTGTTGTCCAAGCCAACATTTCTGCTATTATTTATACCGCAACTAAAATGTTATTCTTGAGACTCAACTCTGTGGGTAGAATTCTTTAAGTTATCAGTATTTAGGTTTCCACTAGTTTAAAAAAATCCTTTTTGTTTTTTCTTTGTTTAATGATTTACATTTTCTTTCATGTACCATTTGAATTTTAAAAACTAGAAAACTTTAAGGTGATTTCAATATTATATCGGCTTACAACTAGTGAACATACCTTTTAGCTTTAATACCGCGAGCCTCAGCAAAAGAAAAACTTTCGGTGTTTTGTATGTAATATGTCACCATAAACTAATACTAAAGACTAGATAACAAGAAGATAACAAAAGCAAGCGACAGAATCAAGACTAAAATTCAAATTGAAACCACCAAGACGAACGCGTTATCATTTTTTAATACCTTCTCTATGCTAGCGTCCAGCTGGCGCGAATCTTACGAGCGAATTGACGTCACAACCAATCACAGCGCTTTTCAAAGAGGATTTAAATTTTATAATTTTTAATTGCTTATATTTGTTATATGGAACTACAAAATTATTTTTTTGTGAACTGTGGTTCTTTTAATTGTATAAACTTACTTTTACAAGCAACATTTTTCAAATTTTGTTCAAGTTCTCTATTATATGTTTAAAACCCCTCGTATTACTTGCGGCGAAATTATCAAAGAGTTATTAAATACATTTAAAACAAACAGAAACGTTTTTAAATTTTTTATATTTTATAAATTTTTTATATGAAAATGCATTATTTCAGTTTTGACGAGCATTTAAAACAGTCAAAGATGATGCCAGTTTTTTGAAGTGTTGAGCGAAGACTTGAATCAATATACTTCTTTTTATATGAATATATAACGATGCGTTTAATTTGGAAGGATGTCACACCAGGCCAAGCCCTGAGTACGCATGACCTCGAACTGAATCAATCTTCCGCCATGTTGACCTTGAACATATGAAAACGGCCGAAATTGTTTACTTGTTTTATTCAATGAAAAAATCCGAAAACAAGCCTATACTACTCCGCCGCCGCAAAAATGAATGAAAACCATTTCTCTCCCCATTGGATAGAAATGTCTTATACAAGGTGGCCCCAGAATTATAAAAACGTAATTATTGGCGGATATAACAATATAAAAAAAAGACACTCTGTGGTCCAGTGCATTTCACCTTAGACACATATTTCATAATTGCATGTTCAAGTTACTAAAAAATAAAACAACATTTTTGGCGAAGTAATCTATTTTACTTAAAACAAAACGTAGTGTGGAAAATCGAGATCGACAACAGTCACCGGCACACGAATTTTCACACAGTTGTTTTCTCTGTTCAGTCTCAGCTTTGGAAAGACCGGAAACCGAGAAGCGTTATTCATTTCTAGAGCTATTTCGTCTACATTATTCGTGGGCACCACGAAGCTGTTCAGAATATTCTTTTGGGTCACTTGTCTGATTTTCTCCGACGACATAATCTTCTGTTTAACGAGGCACTTTTTGAGGTCCAAGATGTGACGGGTGGTCTCCAACCACCACCGTTTGTACCTCGATGATCGCAACTTGGTTTCTTCTTCCAAGTTACATCTGCGACATTCGTTAATCTCGTGTGTTCGCTTGGTGTGACACAGGAACGTGTGCGTGGGTGCAGTGATTCGATCGATCTAAAAGGAACAATTAGGATGTATCTACCAAGATGTATTATTCTATTAACTTTTATTCAATAGATTTCTGTTCATGGTCGTCAATGTTTAAGTAATGTGAGATGTGGAATTATGTGTACAGTGACGCGAACAAAACGGTCTTACATTTGACACTGAAAAAATTAACTTTATGGATGTTGAAATAGAGAATTGCTTTAACAAGCGAAAGGGTTAGGGAAGAGAGGAGAACATTGTGGCTGAATAATTTAAGAGGTTCGATGATGAAATTTAATGTTTTCAGAATATTGCTTAAGTTGATTTTATACAAGGTGAGTATGGATTATTTGGTTAATTATTTTTGTTTTAAATTTTTCAGATTTTTTAACTATATGGTTTTCTAATGTTAAAGGCGGATTACCAACTATAAACTGTGTTGTGTAATTGAAATTTGTCTGTTGCCTTTAATATTTTAATTATATATTGTTTATTTTAATATAGCAATATTTGGATATTTCCACTTAATAAACCTGACATTATCTTGCTGCAAAGAAATCTGATAATTAATTCAATAAATGCATAAAATACGAATTTATAAATACAAATTTATATACTTACGTTTGATATGCTCCGATACATCACATAAACAAAACAAGCTAATATCATGCACGTAAAAGAAGTCACTTAAACACTTAATAAATAAGACCATAGTTACCTCGATTTCGGTACGTTTCTTTGACGGTTTGGATTTGCTCTCCTTTTCTAGTTTCTTTCTCGAAACCCGACGTGTTTTTGATTTCGATGTGCTTGTCGTCGTGTTGCTACCGAAAAGTCCCCTGTTTTCCGCCATTTTTATCATGTATTTATTATCCAAGCGGATGACTTCCTGAAACCGCATATAGGGTTTTATCGTTTTTTTTAATCAATTTTCAAAGTCTACAGAGGAATATGTTAAAATTTTAAAATATATAATTCACAGACCTTTCTCTGGAGCAGAGCCAAGTAGCAGCCTTCCTTTTTGAAGTTGATGCACGAATTCTCGCCCGAGCATAAACTTGGAACTTCAGGTTGTTCAAATAGATCGGAATCCGGCATTTTGAGGCTGTCTAACAACTTTTGCTTTGTGTCCTGAGTTAATTGCGATTCTGGATTAACATGTTTAATTGTTTCATCGTCTCTGTCCGCCCCGTTCTTATTTGCCTTGTCGTTATTGTTAATTTCCTTACCCTAAAAATGGATGGTGTCTTTCACGCCAACAAAAATTACTATTATTATTACCGTAGGTTCATCGATTGTCGTCTCGCAACTTATCGCAGTGCCCTGTAAAGTCGCGTGCTGAACTCTTGCCAGCCTATTGACCTCTCGAATTGCTCTGTTGACCATTTCGCCATTTTCTGCGTCGATCTCTGAGTGGGTTTCGTAGAGCACAAACTGTATCTAAAAGCGACCAACATTCTGATAATTTTTTCGTCGCTATGTGGCGAGTTTTCAATATTAACGTAAATACCTGCGGTCTGGACATCGCAAATCGTAGAGTTTTTCTTTGCTCCTCTAGTATATTAATGACCCGCTCTTTGGCTTCTTTCGTTTCCTCGTATTCTGTTAGAATTTCTAGCATCGAAAGATCTCCACCCCTACTGCAAACCTGACAAAAATGAAAAGGAAAATGAATTAGTCATTGGTATTCGCTGAAATGATTGGTAACGAACACCTGTGTACTGCTAAACTTCGTAAAACGCAATTTCGGGTTATTCAAATTGAAAGATACGGAAATAACTTGCGTCGCTCCACGATAATGGCAAAAATGAATTTTTTAAAATAATACAAAACAATTAAAATCGAACTTATCTTTTGCAGTGGGGTCTAGTGGACATATTGTTTTTTCGATTGACAGTCGAACAAAATATCTATACGAGGTGTGTTCACAAAGTAAAAAGACTCTTAAGTTTCATCAAAAAGTACTTGTTTATTTATTAAAATTAATGTTGTTCCCTTCAAAGTATTCCCCCAAATATAATACACTTGTGCCAACGTTTTTTCCAATCCTCGAAGCACTTCAGGTAAGTTATTTTCTGGTATAGCTTTGAGTTCTACCAGCGATTTTTTGCAATCATTCCAAAGCTCCTTCCTCTCATGTGTTTCTTGAGTTTTGGGAATAGGTTAATCCGGTTAATATGTCGGCTGAAGCATGATTGTCGTTTTGTTTTTGGCCAAAAAGTTAGACACAAGCAACGATGAGTGAGCAGGTGCATTATCGTGATGCAAAATCCATGAATTCTGTTCCCACAATTCCGCACGTTTTCTTCGTATTGCTTCCCGCGAACGGTGTATAAATTCACTATTTCTTTAAGGTACGTAACCGTGGTAAGAACTCTTGACGTACAACTCCAAAGAAAACAGTAAGCAAAACTTTGATATTTGATCATTATTGACGTCGTGGTCGGGCATCCACAGCGACATTCGTCATCGGCTTCTTCTCGGCCCTCTTTGTACCGCTTATAAACATTTTTCTTGCTCAAAGTAGATTCACCATACGCCATTGTCAATATTTCAAGTGTTTTGCAGGACTGTATTCCATTGTTTACACAAAATTTTATGCAAATTGTTTGTTCCATTTTTTTTGACAGTAGAAAATCGACGAGCGCATAAAACACTCCTAACGCTTCTGTCTCACAAAAAAAAGAAACGTACAAACTGTTAAGGACATATGTACCAACATAATAACAACAATTACAAAAGTCACCTTACTTTTTCAACGCACCTCGTACACTAAATGTTGTTTGATAGCAGTCAATTTTAGTGAGTATTAATTAAAAATTAATAATAATAATAAATAATATTTATATTCAATAACTTATTCTATATTAAGTAAATATGCAGCATCTCCAACTTACAACAACATATTAGTTAATAATTGAAGAAAATTATATTAAAAAAAGTCTCTATATCATTATTTTAATAGTGTCACATTTAGTGGTTTATTAGTAGGTAGGCTTATTTTCCCTGTCAACCATTTTTACAAAACAAATGAAAATCTCCATTCGTCATTTTAATTTAAATCGTTGTTTGCGTAACGAATTTTCTTAAAAGTGAAAGAAATCGTGAAATTCTAGTTTTTCAAAGAAACTTCTACAAGCTACTGCAATACTATTTATAAATCTGCTAGATTTTCCCTTCGTCCGTTAATGTCGAATAAAACTAACGTTTCGCCATCATGTTGGCTTCTTCAAAGCTTAACTGCAACTGGTTTGCAATTTACAGGGTGTCCCGTTTAAAAGAGGCCTTATCTCTAAACCTACGGGGGTTACAAAAAAAATGAAATAAAAAAGTTGTTTCTAATAAAATTACCTTTTTTTTTATTTTCCTAATCGTCACTTTTTTATATACAGGGAAAACAGTTTCATTTTTTTAAATAGAACACCCTACATTTTATTGCATTTTTGGATAGTCCTTTCAAAGACAAATTCAACGATATATATGAGTATGGGTCTGTGATGCACTGTTTCGGACTTATTAGCGATCATCTTCAGAATTTTTTCAAATTTGATCATTGCCTAAAGAAAAGCATTATTTTCGTAAAAATATTAGATGGAAAAAAGTTTAAGAAGTTAATAAGCAACCCAACCATGATTGTTTAAACATAACCCGAATTCTGAAGATGATGTCTAATAAGTTCGAAACGATGCATTACAGAACCATACTCATAAATTTTACATATTTAAAAAAATGTAACTTTGTTTTACCACCCTGTATATAAAAACGTGACGATTAGGAAAAAAAAAATAAAGGTCATTTTAATAGGAACAACTTTTGTATTTATTTTTTTTTTTGTAACTCCGGTAGGTTTCAAGATAAGGTATAGGAAACTTTTTTTGTAGACCGCATTTACCAAATCTATGGGGTCAGTCACTGCAGAGTAACTATTCGGAGGAGTCGCGAATACTGCTATCACTTCTTCCATGTAATTCGCGTCTTGAGGCAAATCTATTAGACGGTCAGCGAAGATCGTAATATTGTTCACTCCCAAGTCCATAAAGTAAGCCTCGTACTCGTTTTTTCTGAAAACGATCCGTCACTTTGGTGTTGACAATCCCGGGCGGTAGGACTTGTAGTACCTCTTACCCGCGCTAAAAGCAATGAGCCTGTTAATTCTCTGGTTTTGTATCAGTAACGTTGCGAGGTAAGCGGTAGTTCTTGGCGAATTGACGTGAGTTTGAATAACACTGCCCGTCAATCCCAGATCCAGCAAAATTTTACCGAACGTTGCAGCCCCACGGCAAAACGACCTGTCCTGAAGCAAGAACCACCTGTGGATACAGCTCTCGCATTCGCATTCATTTCATTTCCAGTAGTAAATACAACAAAGTTTATTATGCTGTTAAATTTGCGTGAGACATGGCAAAATGCTCTAGGTCTTAAAATAATCCAATGAAAAATAAGTTTCGATCCTATTCTATATTCTATATTATTCGATCCTATTCTTGACTATAAATGTTTTTTGATCGGCCCTCGTATACGTCATTCTCGATCGAGAAATTTCGATATTGACATTTCTGGACTCTTCTAGACGTCATCATTTCGCCTATACAGAGTGACCTATTAATAATTGAAAATAAATACTTTACTGACTTTATATGATTTAGATAAAATATGATTACAGTCCAGTACATTAAAACTATTTGACGTCTCCTTGTCACACCGCGCGGAAGTCTAGGTATTGTACACCCTACGCCAATTTCTACGCTACTGGCGCAATATTTATTTGTGTACAAAGAATCCGTTCAACATTTTAGAACAATTGTAAAGACCATTTTGTAATAATTTGTTAAATGAACGAGCAATTCTTCAAACTGAGATACATCAAAAAAGATTTATATAGCTGCTTTTTAGCTCAGGATTCTAGAGTTAAAATATTTCACATTATTAATGAATCGCCCTGTATAGAGAACAGGAGTTAGCATTGTGAAAGTAATCGGAGTAACAAGACCGAACGAAGTAAAATGCGAATCTAAGTGATATAATAGTGTTCTCAAGTCCCACTTGAAAGTCGAAGCTAAGCTAATCATATTTAAACAAAAATAATGTACGCAGTGTATACAAACCTTCAAACACTCTTCACAATATACAAATTGTTTTTTGACGTCATTATACAGAGTGTTATTTTAAACAAACTTCAACTTCTGCTTAGTTTTTTCAATGGTGTCAAGCTTTTATATTTTTCTTTTTCATTGTTTTTTTTTGTTTATTAAAATAAAAATAATGTATAAATCCATTGGCGTTTCGAGAGTCACCTTATTCAATGTTGTTAACAAAAATTTAGTGCCATTTTGCAGGGTTTTTTTTATATTAAGCAAGAAAAAAAATGCTTTTCTGTAATGTTTTTTGTGATGCTGCCGCTTCGAGAAATTAAATAATTTGTCAGTTCAGTTGCAAGTGACCAAATCTACACAATGGAAAAAGCGAAAAGCTTATCGCTGTTATACTTGAACGATCAACAAATGATCCCGTATGAATCGACTTCTGGCCAATTCTCCTCTCATTGTAGCGTGAAAGGTGATTATCTGCGGGCAATGTTTGTCCCATTTAAAGTTGTTGGCGTTCAAATGTTCCACGCTGTCGACCATGGTCAAGTTGAGCGTCTGTGCGATATTTTCGCAGAGCGTTTTCCTGTCCCTGAAACGCCTTGTTGAACCTACAGAGATATTTGAAACGTTTCACATTCATATCATTACCCAACTTTTAAGCAGTTCACCCAACAACTGACTGGCTTTGAATTCGCGAGCTCTGTCACTTTTTCGTCTCTGAGATGATCGGGAAGAAGATCGCTCAGCGACAGAGCGTTGTGTTTAATCCTGATGGAGGTCGACATACCTAAGTCTTATGTGGTGAAGGCGAATCAATGACATATGCAAAGGAAGCCTTCTGTATTTAGCGGGACATCTATAAAGCTGTTGTCATTGTGACAAAATATTGGAATCGTCGAAATGTGTATCTTTTGATAAGGTCTAAAGATTTCCAAACATTGAATTACACCGGATGGCAGAGAAAGTTGTTTTTCAAAATACCCTATAGCAATTATTTGACTCTAACAGACAATTTACCATAGTCATCTTAAGCTAGGTGTTCATATTATAGTATACGGACATGTATATGTATGGAAAACTGGATTGTATAGGTCAAACGTTCAGTGACTAAAAGACACTCCAGTCAAATAAAGACCAGAAATTATATGCTATTGTCCTATTAATCAAAGATTTGTCTTACTTCAGATTTTTCTATGAACCAATACTGTACATGTACATGTACTTATTTGTGATCTATTCGAAGGTATAATAAAATACAGTAATTGAATTTTGTGGTTTCAAATTTCGTTAAAAATGAAATTTTACACAGGCGTATTGTCTAACCCAAGCCGAAATGTTTACATTTTGTTAAAATTACATATTGATTTTCAAAAATCGTACCAGATTATAGACAACAAAAGTTACTCAGAAATTTGACTTATATGGTATCGCTCGCCTGGTTATCTTGGAAAGGTTACCTTAGACGTGAGACAGCGGCGGCTAATTTAACTTTTTGCGACCATAATGCGTTTTCTGCGTGCGATAATCCAGCGGCCTCGAAAAGCTCCGTCGCCAGTGGCGCGATGGAGGTTTCCCGTTTCCTAAAGCTGCGATGGTACAGGTCGTAGAAAAGAAGCCACACGTGCGGAGCCGTGCAGTCCAACTAAATTGTTTACAATATTCGCACACTTAAAACTAGACGTCGTTAATACAACACTTTTCCAAATTTGGTATGCATCCATCAACGTTTTAGAAAATATTTGCTCAAATATATGCCGGAGATCGTAAGAAAATAATCGAAATAATAATAAAATAGAAATAATAAAATTGAAATAGAAACCCGGAGTGGCGGGTTATGATGGCGAGCGAGGCGACATAGGGTTAGACTTCTCAGACATATTAAAAGATTGCACATAATACAATGCTTAAAACAAACGAATAATCTAATGGATTGATTATTAAAGGGAATCCAACGGTCCGCGGCCCGCTAGAGAAACTAGGGAAAATCGTCAACCGCTCGTCGGCTATCGGAGCTACACTCGACTCGATTTATCCCGGATTTCGATAATTCAAGACTGTCTTGCCCCGGGCCGCGTTCCGCTCACCTCGGAAAGATACCTAAGTGGGTTGCTAGGGGTTTATAATATTTAGAATGACAGAATTATAACTGTTTAGTCTAGATCGATAAATAATACGAATCAAAAATAAACAATCCAAACACCCAAAACGAAATATGGGAAAATATTGAATAAGGGGGCTGAAATATATGACAATATCTATACTCGAAATCAAGGGCAATTTTGGATATTGAAAAGGGACATCCTAATGTTTATCTTTATTTATTTTTTGACAATTTCGCAGCATAATTTTAGGTGGGTCTTAAATAATGTTAAGTAAGTTTTCATAATTATTAAATTTATGCTTAGTGCAAGCCAAGAAAAGGTGTTTCTGGTTCACTTGTGGATTTGTGATATGACTTAAGTGTCGTGAAAGTTAAGAATGGATAGAAAAAAATATGATAAAGAAGTTATTTTTTTCTTAAAATATTGACGTTGTATATCTCAAAAATAACAAATTAACAGTATGTATTACGATATGCCAATCTGGCAACTTCCCTTAATTATATGACTTTTTACATTGTGCCAAATAATGTATTGTGCTTGCCATATTAAAGAACTTTAATATAATTTTTTTGAAATATTATGGAAACAGTAAGTAAATATTCGCAACAAAATACAGTGTTTCATTATAAAATGTATCAATGTGTTAGAATGTAATATTTTCAATATTTACATATCTACTTACCTCGCGGAAGATTTGGAAAAAACAAACGTCATTGAGGGCTTGGATCAGAATGTTTTTATCTAAAAACAAGAAGCTCAATAAAACAACAAAAATCTTAGTAGGTAATATGCATTTTTAAACCATTTCTGCATTTGACTGAAACTTAATCAATCTAACATTTAAATATAAATCGAACTTACAGCGAAACACGTCATAAATGAGAGTATACACCCTCCTCATTTCCTGTTCGTCTTCGAAAGTTACTGCCTGAGGCGGTGAGCTCAACAAACCCCCTGCCTTCGCTATGTCTCTGACGGTCCAAGTAATAGGCGCCAAATAGTTGCAAGGCCTCACTCTTTTCTCTCGAATTTCAACCTCAGCAGTGCAAGAAGTTTTGCGTTTTTGAAGGAGACTCCACTCTAGGAACGTCTTGCCTTGGTGTTCTTGCACCATTGAGCCGGCTATCATTCTTAAATAAAATTGTTCGAAAAAAGAACAGAATTAAAGTCTATTTTGACATTGACTAGAATTTATTTTGGAAAGCTATCAACGGAATGTCGTTCGTTTGATTAAAGACCTTTTTGCTGATGGTCTACAAATTAACAAAAATTAAATTAATTGCAAAGAAGGAGTAACTTAACTAAATAAAACGGTAAACGGTAAAAATATCTAAAAGTTTTATATGGACATAAATTGTCCTAGAGTCTCTCCTTCAGAGAAGTTAACATGCCTATAATACTCAATTTCAGACTACCAAAAACTGATAACAAACTTTGACTGACTAAACTAAGTTAACTTAGTATTTAATTAATTTAATTGGCATATAAATATGTTGAAACATTTGATTATAAAATTATTTTTTTGTTACAGACAAAGCTAGTTATTTGTAAAATTATATAACAGCGAACAAATTAAATAAACAATGAAAATGTATAGTAGTCATTCTGGTTTCCAATCTTGCTTTCCATTTCAACTTCTTTATGTTTAATTATAATTATCAAAGATTATAGTAGCTAGGCTAAAGGTTAATAAAAATGCGAATATGACACTATAGAAAAGGGGAGAAATGGGTCTTGTCGAAACTTTTAAAAATGAAGCCAAACTAATAAATTAAAAAGTATAGAAAACCTAAATAACAATAACAATAATAATACCCATTTTGAGCTGAATCCGCTAGCCGCTGTTTCTCGACCAGCTTGTAGTAAATTTTCGTTTGCCAAGCGTTGTCGCTAGGCAAAATGAGGTCGAAAAATTCGTTTTCCATTTCGTCTACCACTTCCAGCAAGTAAGTTTGTAGCAACTGTTAAGACGGAGATGAGAGATTTCATAGGTAAACTATTATATCAACGAGGCAACAATTTACCGATGGAAGCTGGGAGAACACGTTGATAGCCCCTGTTGAAGTCAGATTCACCCACAACTGGTGCTCGGGTGGAGATACCGCGGAGATGTAGTCGCAATGTGATTTTTCGTCGCTGTTTTCCATATCCATATTATTATCCTTACCGGCTGGAAAACGATTTAAGGGAGTCGGCCACCGAATAGTCCAAATAGTCGTGATATGAAAGCATGAATATTATTTCGTCATTAAAGTAAACTAAGACAAAAATTTATATCGAACCGAACAAAATCAAGCAAATATTTGATATTTCCCATATATGTCATGTTTCTTACTAAAATTCATCTATTAATACTTTTTTTTGTCGCAATAATTGATTTAAACTAATTACCTCATCAATTCTTATTTCTATGATGACACTTAAAAAAAATGATTTTTTTTGTTAATGTTTTTGGTTAACAATGAATCCCGGTTCAATAACTTTGGGCTTTAAAATTTAACGAATTTTTGAATTTGAATTTATATGACTCGAGGGCCATCTTCCTTTATGAAACGTCTAGTGACTCATATTGAACGTACGTACGAGTTTACAAATATGGAGTTAATGAAATAGTACAGAGAATTTATATGATTTCAAAACTCAAATTTATTTTGTCAGTAGCGTAGATAAGTGAGGCAGTACCGTGGAACGGAAAATTTGAAATTTGATACTCGTTTTTGACACTTCGAAGTTGTAGTAAAATCTTTTCAGCATTTATTTTCACAGTAAAATAGATGAATTTTATACATAAAAGAAAGTCTAGTTTTAAAATCTTAAAATTTAAATTTCTAGATAAAAAGCGCGGGGTCCCTTAAGGAGTTTCAGTTTTATCAATATAAATACAACTCAACACAATTGAGTCTAAACATTATTAAAATCGTTTTTGTATAAAAAAAAATATATTATTTGTGCGATCACGCAACGCTAATAAAAATATATAGAAAATGCCAAATTCGTTTCGATCAGAAGAAAACAATCAATACATGTTTTCCACGACGGTTTTGTGGAGCGTATTCCTATTCCATTTCATCTTTGAGATCAGCTAAAGAATTGAGTTTATACCATACCAGTAGGAAATTTGAGAAAATTAAGAAACGGCCACTGTTGTAATTTTAGCGGTGCCTTTTGAATACATGCAACGTGTGCGCAAATTTGCGTTTACAAATGTGTTTTTTTGTTCTATACCACTTACTAACCGGAAACCACTTTTTTTTTTCATTTATTTGTTTATTTTCAATAAAATTAAAAACAATCTAAAAATTCTCTCGTGTTTTATAACCTGAAGAATATGCGTGAGCACTTTAAAATGGCGCTGAAAATATTTTATTTGCTTTGTTTGTGAGTTTTGATTGTCCGCAACGTACCTTTATTTAAATAGTTAGGGAAAAAAATTATTGGAAAAAGTTGTTTAGAACTAAGGTTATGTTAAGATGTAAAATATTGGGTAGACATCAGTCGAGAATACATTGGCAATTTGTTTATTATGCAGAAAGCATTTTTAAAAATATCGGAAATTTTAAAAATGGACAAAGGAAGCTGGACATAAAACTTTTATCAGTATAATATTTTGGTTACATTTTTTTTACTTTTTACTCTTCTGCAAATATATTTTGTGTAAACAAGTTTTAGGACTTGCATTTTCAATTAATGTTAATGTTATTATGGTTATTAATTTTTCGAACGATCTTTGTCTAATGCAATATTTATTATTAATATTAAAATTCAAATAGACCTAATGACTCGTGTTCCTAAGAAAAAGAGCTCGGATATGTTAAAATCAATTCGCATTCCAAAAAATCCACAAATACCACATTTGCTTTACGTGTTAATAAAAGGTATTTATAGAAAAAAATCAAATATAAAACTATAACAACCTGTAAAGGTTAAACACAAGCATTTCCGAGTACATATTATGAAGTTTTGTCTTTGTCTGTCCTAATATGAAACAATAGTGGAATTTTTCTCGTCGCTCGTGATTACGTATATTTGTGGTGAATATTATTTTTTTTATTTTAGACTATTTAAAGAAATGTCATATTGATGCCGTGGTTCCAACATTGTCTGTTGCAAAAATAGGATTTTGACAACAAAAACCGTGATTTGATCTTTTGTCCAAAACACGTGTATATGAACTCTGAAGTAATTTATTTGTTAATAGCTCATTAAATTTGAAATATTAGAGCTGTATCGACGAAGCCGATTGTCTGATGAAATTACAATTAAGATTTTTACAACGCACTTAGAGCACGGCTGAGTTTTTTTTAAACAATATTTTTAAGTTATTATTGCAATACAATCGACCCCCCTGAAAGCGGCATCGTGCAGTGAAAACTAGTTCCAATAAACACCGCTATTAAAATAATTCTGTTCATTGTCCGCTTTAAGCGTTACGTACCAACTAACTTTTGCCGGGAAAACGAAATTTAATTCGAATTTCCAGGTAGGTAATAATTAAAATTCGATTTTAGTCTATTTAAACAATTTCCGTGCGAAAACGTAGCGTATTATTAAAGCCTGGAAATCGCAAAACTCGCGAACTAGAGTCACGAAACGTGTCAAAAGGTTCGCCATAAAAAATGAACAGCGCAGAATTTTTATACGAATTCGTTCGCTATTTTTAAAACGTTTAATAGGACAATGAAATCGAAAGCTCGCCTCATTTATTTGCTCTTTTCTGCGTCATAACTTTCATGTGTTTGAGTTCGAGCATTAATTTCTTCTAGCTTTGATAATTTAAACGACTTATAATCACAAAACCGTAACGAAATGTTGATGTAGAAAGTCTGTAAATAAGGACGACGACGGAAAGGATCAAATCGCGTGCAGAGATAAAATCTTTCGGGGATTATAAACCTTGACAACTTTATGCAGTTCAACAGATAAAAATAAGCTCTATCGATATTACAATTTTAGGAAACCGATTGTTCATCATTTAGGAATGGAGATATTTTATTTTGTTTACAATCCCGCAGTGCATAAAACAAGGTAGGACACCATCTGTTTTATAATCGATAGTCGTTGTTTTTTTCTATAACATTCTATTTACAAAAAAATCAAATGCAAATGCACACAAATGGGTAAGATTGATCTTTCATTTCTGTTTTTACTAAAATCGGATTTAATAAAGCTTAGAGATGCATCAAATGTTTGGTTTAGCTTCACTTTTAAGAATTCAGAATTGGAAAATGTGTTCAGTCAATACAACCCCTTAGGAGTGGAATCCTATCTAGATCTTTGAGATTTGGCAGATATAATGGGTTGAAGTATTTGATTCGGCTTGAAGATGTCCTTTCCAGTGAGGCACCTTAAATGTACTTTGCAGTTATTTTTATTGTTGTTGGAAGTAAGCACATTATGTCAACCCAATGTTCGTACTAATAGATACGATGCAAGTTTAAGCCAGAGAATTTGCCGCAGCAAACGTTGCCGATATAATGGAAGTTTTGCATGCTGATATCCACGATGTATGATTTTTGTCCTATAAATATTCAAAAACTTAAGAGTTTCTGTTAACGGGAATATTTGTGGTTTGAACTTTGACCGGTGTCAAAGATAAGAGAGTAATCCAGTGTAAACATTCAAGATGCACGAGCAGAATGAATATACAAATAAATGAAAAGAATGTAATTTATTTATGAAAATAGCAACATAGTGTGATAGGTGAAACGAGATACAATTTTTGTCGAATTTTGAGAAAAAAAACACTTATACAGTCGAGAATTGGTCTTAAAAAAATCCTATATAGAAATTATTAAAAAAATAATAAAATGGATTGATCAACGCTAATTACATCTGGTTGGAATTTTTTTACAAATTAAGTTTTTTTAAGTTAATAAATGGAAATGGAAGTATATTATTGTATGTCATGAGTTATTCATAATACAATAATACCAACTGTGAACAATATGAAAAAATAAAATAAAAAATATATATTAGTAAAATGATTTGTTCTGTTACTAGTGCCATATCCTGGATGTCCGGAAATGATTAAATGATGTTGAGTACATTTTCTTAAGTTCATGGGCAGTTAAGGTTCTTTGAGATTAAGGTTTACCTATGCACATAGATTATACAAGGAACTTTAGTAGTAAGTGCGCTAAATTTAAAAATAATTTGCAAGCTAGAAAAATCTAACCAAAATATCATTTAAATTTTATTTGACACCGTGTAATTCCGTTATTTTTGAGTTATTAAAAAAATACTATATGAATTCTTACATAGGGTGTTCCAAAAATAAACGGAGTTTTTTTGTTAAAAAAATCTGAAAAAATAAATATTTACTCGATTCAAGGCAATGTTATTCGTGTAGTAAGAGGCTAATTTAGCCCTAATAGGTAAAAATTATTAAGTCCAGTGACTTCCATAATACAAAGCACACTATAAAAAATTTTAGAACGGCCCACCAACGACGAAATCGAGCTAAAATTCGAGGTCTATTTCATATATATTTGTTTCTACTGGAGTAGTTTAAATCATCGTCTTAAGGTGTCTCCATAAAGAAAAATAAAATAAAACTGCTTAAAAAAAATTCGCAAAGAAAAAAGAAAATGTCTAACCTCATAAGAACATGATATGACGTGACATGCAAAGAAACTGGTTTAATGGGTTTTTGTTCCATAATGAAGTGATATAGGAGATGCAAGATGCAAAGAAGCAATTTTTTATGCTTAATCAAACAAAAAAATATTCAAGTTTGCTAATGTGTCTTTTAGGGCTAAGTTAGTTAGTAGTACGCCAAATAACATTTTGGAGAATATTTGTTTAAATATTAATAAAAGAATATATTATTTTAATTTATCACCCTGAGTCTTGAAAACTGCATTTTCGGGCCTATTTTTATAAACACTTTTTTCATATTTTTATTTAAATAAAATATCTCGATCTATTTTCTGATCAGCCTCTAACTTTTATATTAACTTCACGAGTCCTTAAAATTTAGCTTCTAATTTTCGGACAACCTATATTTATACAAATAATACTTAAGCCTGTATTTTTCATCAATAAACTAAAATAAGTAGATAAGATCGGAGAGGAAACAATAAATAAATATATATTTTTATAAAAATGTATTTGGTACTGTTTGTGGCCTTTTTTAAATAAATTTAAGTTCCAGTGACACTGGACACTGAGCGCAATTAAAAAAATGTTGAAATTTGACGTCACACTTTAAAATATTGTATTGTATATTGTATAAGTATTTTTGAATTGAACGATAACAGTACCTGGCAAGTAGGGATTTTTTTTCTTTAAACAGTTTTTGGGTCTTACGTTACTCACCTCGATTAATAAAGCAATCAACCGTTTGACGGGCGAATTGATAAGCGCAATTAGACACTTCTTGACAGACAACTCCTTTCCGCGACGCGCCACAAAAGTGTTACTTCGAGAATCGCACGAAACGATATTTATTCAAACGCAGGATCCCGTCGATCCCGACACCTGTTTGTTGTAAACGAGGTCTTCGAGTCACGCAAATTTATTTATTTCGGGTGCTATACATACGGTCGACCCTTTTGTTTTGCGTACTCGATATACATCCATATGCAAATTTATAGTCTTTATTTCTTAACTATGAATAATAGAACAAAATATAATAGAGTACAATAAATAAATAATGGGATTATTGAAACTTTACAGACTACATAATGTTTTAAATATCTACAATACAAATAATAGACATTTTATGATACAAACAAACATGCTTAGTTAAGTTTACAATTGATAATTTAAGGTATATTCGACAAGCATACGCATAACACACCGGGCGTCTCATGGTTGATGGAAAATTAGATGCTCTGACAATTTCCTGAAAATTTGGTCATATAGGTTTTTGACTTTTCTCGCTAGATATCTTCTGTGTCACCGTGTTGTCGCTTGTATCGAAACGTAGCGATAACTTTTTTTATAAAACGGGACAACCTGTAGATTTTTCCATTTTTCTCTCCGCTGCCACTTTCTATCAATTTTGTAAAACATTTTTGAGAGATACATCCCACGTATTTTTCATAACAAATAGGCGAAGTTCGTGACTGGGTCATCCGGTATAAATGGTTTCGGTTCATCGAAATTTTACCCAAAAAAAAAAACACGTGGGTCGCTATTTAATTTAAATAAAGCTAGGTGCTATAGAAACTGTTTGTTCTAGGACACAATTGGGTCGAACGGAAGCTTCATTATCTAAAGTTTTATTAGCGTCGAAACTGCGGACAATTGACTCTCATGATATTATGGCACGCAATAAGTTTCAGAAAAACTAGTGGGACACCAAAGATAATCAATATTTAGTTCTATTGTTCCTCACATCAAAATCTCCTTTATTTAATTGTTAAAAAATACTTTTGGCATACATATATACGTGGTGTGGTTAATTGACCGGTCAATTGACCACTTATTAATTAACTAGTTGAAAAATGTATTAAATAACATCTTGAAATTGTAGTGTTATCTATAATTATAATATGTATATATGTTTCCAGAAGGAAGCGACGGCGACGTAACGCACAATGTAAATAAATAAATATAAATTTCATAGTATTTAAAAAATCATTTCGGTCAATTGACACAAAAAAAATGACCGGTTAATTCCACTAACCTATACATACATAACCACCTTGAGGCGTCGACATGAGGGATTAGTTTATTTATTCTGAATGGTACAATTTTAGTTAATTGTTTCAAATTTTGAAAATCCTGTTTTGTTAATTTGACTTTGATCTCTTACTGGGATTACTGGTGAAGTGATTTCTGTTTTAACTCATTACGCGGTTGTGTAAAACACAATTTACACTGTTTAGTTTTTAGAATGAATAGATATTGTTGCTGAAACCAATTTTACCCCTTCCACATTATAAAATCCATTCTATCGTTCAAAGTTAGGGAATGCTTTTATTTATTTGGCTTTAATAATTCTTGTCACTGAAGTAAATGAAATACGACTTTGCAAACTGTATAAATATTTATTAAAAATATATCACAATTGGATTATAATACTTAACAATTGTTCAATGACCGTGTCTAAGGGTGTGTTTGTTTTCTAATCTACCTAAGATTTTTTCTTCGTTAAGGCAACCAAGGCTCTGGCCCAGCTTCACTCGACTCCCGGGAGAAATATCGAATTTGAATTTCTTCGGGGCTTCGAATATAACTACGACGGTCGAACCCATGCGGAATTCGCCGATTAAGTCTCCCTTTTTGAGATTTACCCAGCTTCCTAGACACACTTCCTTGAATTTGTGAGTCTTTCGCTTTTGATTCGTGTGAAGGGTTTTGTCAAAGACGACCCTGATTGACCCTACGTTGGTGGCACCTGTAAAACCAAACAAATCGGCCACCACATTAATCTGCCATGTTTATTTAATTGTTTTATGCAACACCGAAAATTTATCATTCCTGTTTTGCACACAATCGGTAATTTGGGCGCAATTTCAGACATGTCGCAATATGTTTTGGTTTACCTAGCAAAATTAAATATACAATATATAGAAAAAAAAGGAATATGCCGTTGTTATTTGAAAACAAATTTATATAGTCACTTTCTCCGCTTATAACATAGTTTTCCCCATTAAAAGATTTTTTTTGAAAATTTTGGGAGAAGATAATTTAGCAAACAGTGAAAAGGGAAAAAAATTGATTAAATGGGTAGGTCAAAGTTTAGAAAACCGGAACTTACCAACGGCTGTGTATGAAAAGAATCCGTGTTCCCATTGACCAAGGTAGACAGCCCGTTCGTTTAGAACGAACAAGCCAGGCAGCCATTTGGCGATGCGTGGGTTGACAGATAAAAGTTCGCCGGAAAAATGCCTCCGGTGCGTCGGTCTCCAATCAGTGGGCGAATGAAATCTGCAAAAGTCCCATTGGTCGATTACACCACCCCAAGATAAGCGAAACAGTATTATACAATCAAATGTGTCAATATACTTATTTCTAAGGATTTCTTAATGTCGTACCACCCTATTCGCCCACTCTCGGTTCGTGTGGAGTAATGGGGTATTAAGATAACTCGGCAATCCGAATTTATTTGCTTCTGGACATCTGAAAGCGGTAAATGTTACCTCGGCGGTCTGTAAAGACCCGTAGGTGCCAGTTTAGGCATCTGGTGAGAAAGAAGACAGCAGTACGAGATGAACACCATCACCGCTTGTCTTATTTCTCAGACTGAATATCGGTCGATAGTACGTTAAACAGAACCCAGTTCACGTAAGCACTTTAGGAAATTATAAACATAGTTTTACAAACGCAAACCCACCTGTGATAATCGCCGGGTGCCAAATAGATGACGCACTGGTACAGCGTATTGCCCTGATGCGGTTGATGCAAGAATCTATGATTAATATTATTTACATTTTCTACCTTTTCACCCAGGAAGTCCTGCACGTAATAGGTGACCCCTTTTACCTGAACCAGAGAGACAAATAAAAAAGAAACCTTTACCATAAAGGGAACATAAGTCTTACTTGTTCAATTTGCCCGTTATTCACCATACCGACGGTTAATACTGTTCCATCACATGGTGACACGAGGCAACTCTTTTCGTCTATGGTCCGGGCACCCTTTCGGAGGGGCCGGACGAAGAAGTCTGAGAGACTCGGATATGATTTTAAATCCTGAGTCTCAGCTTCAGATATGTTTACGCCAAAGGCATTAGCGTATGTCTTATAAACGAGAGGTCTTAACTTCTCTGGCACTTGTTTATCTGTAATGAACGATGACCAATAGGACATCTACAATAACGCTTGTCGAATATTGGATACATGTATGAATTTCTTAGTCAACCTACGTCATATTCTTTTACTGAGATATATGTTTTTAATGTTGATGTAAGCAATACATGAGCTTAAGTGAGACAAAATTTATAATAAAGGTATTTTGATACCTCCGCACATCAGTGTGCAACAAACGAAGTATCACATCTAAGTGATCCTCTATAATCACAACAGAAATGCATTTAACAATCACTATATACCAATTTATGGATATCCTCGTTAATACTTTTCAGTTTATTTTTTACAATTTCCTAAGTTAATCAATAACTCTTACTAGGTTGATGCACATGTAATTATATTTTCTAAATTACCTTAAAAAATCATATTCACTACAGAGTTTCTGTGAAACAGTGATAAACAGAGATAAAAGAAAATTCTTATCTTGAAGACCTTGACATTTCAATACCTAATGCCAAGATAAGTGATATTGTTCTTTGGATGTGCAACAAACAACCAGATGAAGGTCCGTCAATTTTAAGAATACTGACCATACAGCCCAATGATTGGCCGGTGGTTAATAAAAATTGGTAAGATATACACGAAAATATTTCGGAATTTATCTAACTTTAGAATTTAAATAATCTGTGTATTTGTTTACTTTATGATACTCGTAATTTATATTTTATGGCCATAAAACATAAAAAGTAATATACCAAGTCCCAAAAACTTATTGAAGCCCAAGCCTTATATTCTTATAATTTGGAGAATGAATTAATTAAATGAATTAAAAAATAGTTGGACTAGAAGTATGCCTCGACAGTCATTTCAAGAGCAGAGCAGATAAAAGTTTTCCTAATCATACTACAAAATGACGCTAAGTGAAAAGTGTTAGAAAACATCCAAAAGAAGAAAACTTTTTCTAATCGCATATAGCGAAATAAAAATATTAACGACCGAAACGCCCATACATATAGTAGAGTAGACCGTAGTTCGGCAGTTTCTTTTCAACAATTTGCTTACCTGCAATCGCACCCCAACATCTGCTAACTGTCCTCAGAGGCAGAAAGCAATAGAAGTTTATCTCCCACTGTTTTGCGATCGCCCCCTCTTTCACTCTCCTCCTCAGCGCCCGCCATTGCATAACTGCAATAAGGCACACCCCGATGGGTACGAATCTCTTCAGAACTCCTTCCCATTCCGCCCAACCTGCGTACATGGACAAAAAACACATTCATGTATTAGTAAGGGTTTTAATTTAACCTTGGTGCTAAACTAAATAACCGAGAGGATCTAAAACAAAACGATTATGACAGTCAATACTCGGAACAGATTGCGGCAGATTTTAGGTAACAAGTCCAGTCAGTGTCCAAATGCGCACAACCCTGGTGAAAGCTGTTTTTTTTTTCAAATGAAACTGATTGATGATGACCTTTCTATTTTTTTCTTTATTAAAATTCGACAGATTTTCGCAACATTTTTACATTTACATTTACATAATATACTTATTATTTAGTTTTTTAAAAAAGGGCACTTGTCACAAGTGCGGAACAAATTAAAAACTACTATAAAAATCAAAAGGTTGCTTTATTTAATTTGTTATTAAGTTTTTTTCAAATATCATTTTGTCTCGATGTAAGTAAATTCTAAGAATTGTTGGTATGAAGGCAATTTTTAAATTATTTGAAGTGTGAATGTGTTATCAAATTTTATAGTTTATTCAAAATTTTTAAATTATTGGAAAAGTTAAGTGAGACTAATGGTTTGCATTTTTTTTTTGAGCTTTTCATGTTGTTTTTCTGCTTTTCTTTTCAAAAATGTTTTATGCCGATTTCAACCGCAATAATATTTAATTAATGCTTACCGTGACAATTGATAAGTGATATTTTCTCGAAACTAAAACAAAATAAACGAATAAAACATATTTTCGATTCAAGAGGAGCAAATAGGGTTTTAATATTTATACTCTAATAATGAGATCCAATTATTAATAGAAAATCGCATTTGAGCACAAAGAAAAACTCACGTTCGCTTCGGGGGACAGGTTTGCTTCGCGAAAAAGCACTAAAGCACACTGACCGAAATTGCTTTCAAAATTGCATCTACCACAATCTGCTGATCGAAAGGGAGCCTCAGACCTTTTATCAATAGAAAGTACTCGACATAAAGCAAATCGTCTTCCTTGCCAAACTGATGTGCTGTCGCTATTTCTTCCATGTTAAGTTGCAGACCATACGAATGAAAAAGAATATTTTCATTGTGTCGAGCGGTTTTTATATGAAACGGGAGATAATCGCGGGTCCACAACCTGCCCCGGTTATCGGTCGGTTTTCCTCACGACACATACACATACTCACCAACAGTTTCGCTATTTTTTGTAGATAAGCGCCTGCTGAATACTACTGGAGGTCCGATGTAAAGCTTGCGGGAGAGCGATAACATATTCGGGAAACGAGACGGCCTTCGAAACCTGTGAAGATTACAAATATTTATTTACTGGAATACGCAATCACGGGATTATTATTACGCATTTAATTTCGTCACAGTGTTTGCTGCGGGGAAAAAAAATAAAAAAGCTCAACGCGAAAGGAATGTAATGCCATTTGAGAATCAAAAAGACATCGTGTTTAGAAAATTAGAAAGTATCACTCAGAGACGAAAGTCAGGTTATTTAAATTTTCACATTATTAAATGGAGAAAAAACAATTATTATATCGCAAATAAAGACAGGAAAACAATGTTTTTTAAAAGTGGCATCATAAACTATCCAAATTGACGAAAACAAAAAAAAAAGAAAATTTGTTACGCTATTAAATTATGCACCAAAAATCATTTATACCCTTTTAAAGCAAAGTAAGGACTGATTTTAGTGGAGATCACCCGCACGAGTTGCAATTTCTCTTCTACAAACGTAAAAATATGTAAGCATTTAAAATTGTTCTAAAATAAGCAATATGCTCAGTTACACATAAATTAACATTACCTACATAGTTAATAGTTAGTTATAATTAGTATAATCCTTAAATATTTAACAAAATCAATGATTTTTTAAATATATGTTTGTTGAAAAAATAAATATACAAAATAAGTACAGATAATATTTTCAAATAAGACCCCGTGTTAGTAAAAAAATAATATTTAATATTTGATAATACAAAAATACAAAGTTTTGACAAAAACGGAATGTCGGAAAATTTATGGTTATTTTCGTAAGTTGTTCCACAATAACCATGTTTCTGGAAATATGTTGATGTAAAATCGCACTAAAGAAGCTTAAAATTGAACCGTTAGAATCATCCATAGAAAATATTACGTGAACTTAAATATCGAAACAATTCAACTTTCATCAAGGCATTTTTTAAATCATCTATATTCCTAACCAATATCTGACTGTACCTGCTGCCTCATACCTAGAATATCTAGGTGAAATCGGGTCTTGGTTGATTTCATTCGAAAAAGTCGAATAGGAAGGCCGACAAAATAATTTGTACAGATTTTTATGCATTGTCAAATACACCAATTCTTGCTTCGGGAACATCATAATATAAAATGACGTCACGATTTATCCTACCGATCGATTTTATAGCGCTTCGTTAGCGATAGCAGGAACTAAAAAAAGAGCTTTCTACGGCGCAGTAGGGACAGTAGATATTCTGGAAAAGGGGGGTATTAATGTCCACTTTAAACGATAAAACCGTTGGAGGTACAAAAGTTGAAGAAAGAAGTTAACCAAAACTAACAAATTCCATAGCCAAAATTTTAGCAGCCGCCGATTATGCGAAAGGTTAAACTTTGTCAATTTTGATGGCCTCAAAAAATCGTGAAATTTGTTCGAACCGTCACGTCGGCGTCGATTAATTAATGCCGATGATTATATAAAAAAAATGCTAAAAAAAAACACATATCTACGTAGTTAATAAATTAATTTAATTTATTAAACTTAGTTTTGCGTTTTATCGCGAATTTTATCAGTTTCTTTCCCGCTTGGGTAAACTCGATCACGCGGTAAACTGATGCATAGATTTTTATTTAACGAAAACGACAAACTCTGCAACAAATGAGGTTTGGTGTAAATTCGGAAAAATTTCATATCATTCTACAGTACAGTACTGCCTGATTAAATCAATCAACGCGAGCAAAAAATTACTTTTATAAATAATTGATCTCTTTGGATCACGAAATACAACGACACCAAAAACAGACATTTTGATAAATATTTGGGATTAAGGAAGACAAAAAATAAAAGTTAGAAAACTATTTGCCGAAATTCAAGATATCACGGAAACGTTATTAACCGTTATCAGTCGTATCCTTGACCTAAAGGGAAAATACAAATATTATTAAATATGCATAAAGCAATAGCTAATTTAAAATTTCCTGGAATACTTTTGACAAAATAGGAAAATTGGGGATCTGAAAATGTAAATTGTATTATCAAACAATAATGGACTACATATTATTTACAAATACATATTTACTTCAGAACAAATGCATAGGTAGTAATTTTGGATTATAAACGATTAATTGCCTAACAACAATGTTGTAATTGACAGATAAATATAAGAATATTAAAAATAATGGAACTGGTTTTCTAAACATATATACTTACATCTGTAGAATTTACAAAGCATATATAAGTATCAATTCATAAAAAATAAATATCTAATTAGCAATTAATTAATCTGTAAGCACTTTAGTTTTGAAAATAAACGCGCACTATTTACTAATAATAAAAGTGAGGTTATATCATGGAACATATATCTCTTCCTCTTTCCGTGCACTTAAATACTTAAATTTACGTTTGAATCACAGAACATTATTTAATCACCAACACGGTGGCTGCCGGAAATTATTTGTTTCAAGTAAAATGGAGCTTTAAATTGATCCAAAATTCTGTAAAATACAGTTTGCAAAATTATTTCCACTGTTGTGTACGTTTAAACTTATCCTTATTTATGAAATCATCTAAATACAAAAAATGTCTTTTTTCGCCTTATTTAAAAATTAGTCGGACAAACACAACAATAGAACTAGATGAAAATAACATATAATTCTCCTTTTATCTTATATTTTTGCAATTTTAAAAGCAAATCAAACCCGAGCAACAACTCGGCTTAGAAAGTGGAGTTTGTATATAACCTCAATCGATGTTTTGTCACAGAAGAATATTATGTAGTCCTTTATGATATATTTTTTCATTATTTCTAAACAGTTTCTAAATGAAAACACTTTTCCCCTTTCCTTAACAAGACCCTACAACTCTTTGTGGTAAATTACAATGGATGATACTGTTGTTGAAGTGGAATACTGGTAAGAAGTACACATCAAAAATAATAAGCATTTATATTTTGTTTTTTTTTTATCTTTCACAGTAATAAGTGCGGTTATTACGCAAAATATGAAGAGCTAGAAAAACATATTAAAAGCAAACATCCGGAGGTAACAATTTGCGGACGTGAGGGAAGGAGAGGTATGAAAATATATAGTTATATAGTAATTGTGTTAGTAAAATGCACTTTGTAGCTTCCTTCGAAGTAAAGGTGAATGGAGCCCTAGTCCACTCAAAGCTACAAACATTGGCATATCCAGATTTCGATGATTTGGCTCAAATTGTAAATGATGCTTCCCATGGAAAGCCAGTAAGGAGTCCCTGCAAGCAGCAACCTATCACGTCGTGCAGTCTATCGTAGCTACCTTACATAAATTCTAATTATTTGAGTGTAAATAAATGTATTTAAAGCAGTAACATAATGTTAATTTATTTAATTCAATAGGAAGGTCAAGAAGCATGAAATGGTAACATGAAGCCAGAAAGTTTTTGAGAAAATTTTTTGGACTTTGACCAATTGACCAATTCATTACACCTAAAGTCTAACAATTTTAATATACACATTTTATAAATGACTAGCTCCAAAATCAACTGTGAACAAACTGTATAAAGTTCATTAATTTATCTTATATTTAAAGACTTACACTAATAATTTAATGAAATGGTGAACGCGCAGGGCAAGATCGTCGTTAAATTTATCCTTAATTTCTGAAATTAAAAATAGCGAAAACGAATGTGCTGTATAATTTTCGACTTCAATCAAACCAACTCTTGAACCTCAAATCTAATACCTTATAGCAATTTCGAACCAAGACGGATTTATTACTTGCAAACATTATAATTATTCCTGTGTATTATTGAAAACTTTGATAACACCGTACCGTCCAAAGTTATATTGAACGATAATTTCAAGTGGCACGCTGTCAATAATTGTAAACATCACAAAGTTAAAAAGTTCCTATAGTTGGTCTACTACTACAAACTTGAGTATATTCTACGTGGCACGTTTGGCCTATGACAGTGACGTGCAAGCCAAGCGTGAGCGAGCGGTAAAAGTTGGTTAGAAGAGAGTTGGCACAAAGTGAGTAAAAACGGGGCTTCATTTGACGCCAACCGGTGTAGTAAACGATAGTCGCGATGTTGAATGAATAGGGGGTGAGGAAGGGCTGAGGGGTGGTTAACTTTATTGATTTTTAGGGGTGACACTGTCAACTATCGCGCGATGGAAGACTTGGGAACGAAAAAAAAAAACAAAAAACGTCAATGTGAAAAAAATTGAAGACATATCAAATCAAGTGGCCTAGTTCGTGATTGTCGCGGGAATACGCTGTTGATTTTCGGGTTTTTCGGGAAGTTATTCCAGTGCGTTTTTTGTGGTTTGTTTTAGTTTTGAGCAGTGGAATGTGTCGGTCAAATAGGACGGTGCCGCGGAACGTTCATGCCTCTATCGCGGCGAGAAATAACGGGCCGACGCAATAAAAATGGCAGCACTACTGGGATGCTTTTCACAGGAGCACTTTTGTAGGAGGCCCAAGAAGAAAACTAGTTGACTCGCAATACTGCTGCCATTGCTCCTCTACTAGAAAAAGCCAGCGGCAAAGCCGACCAAGGTGGGCCAGGGAAAATAAATAATTCCCTAATTTATTCCCTCAGTGAAATCAAAACAAAGTTATGTCACATAACCAAAAACAATACATGCCAAATCGCACAACTATTTATATTTATATTTAAACGTATTGAGATTCGTCAAAAACTTTTGTAACTATTTAAGCAAAAAACATTTTTAATGAATTAATGAAATCAGCCGAAAATTCATTTATATTTTCGAGCGTTCACCGGCAAAACAGTTGCCTCTCTGACATTACAACAATGGCGGAATACAAAACATGCGCCATGATTTAATTCCACTTTGTGTTTACTGTGGTTAGTTTTAATTACGTCTTTGGAAAAACAAGAAACACAAAAATTTGAAAAAAACGTGACTTAAGTGTTTGTGAGTTTGTTTCGCTGTGATAATATCGTTTGATAATAAATGTCCGCCTGGGGACCCGGTTCCCAAACACTGCGGTGCTTCGTTTTGGGACGCTAATTTTGAAAACGGGGTTGCAAAAGATCGAAAATGTGATACGATAGGAGCGAAGTTATGAGACAAGGCCGTGCGAACTCGAGGAAGTCTAAATGTAATTGTTTTTGAACTGATTTCAGAAGTTAGGTTAGCTTTGCATGATTGCATGTCATAACCTTTGCAATTCGCCTGTTTTAAATAGACGAGCCTAAAAAAATGGATTACAATGCGTGTATATCTTAAAAAGGCTATGTTGTCTTAATTTATTTGATGGTTCCTTTTGTGTGGTAAGGAATTGTAATTATTCTTGTATTTTTCAATCAAATCTTCCGCTTCAACTTTGGGGCTTCAAAGTAAAAATTTCTTACTGTTATGTTGTGAAAAATATATTTAAAAATTGTTTTGAGTGTTAATATAAATTTAATAGTTCTTTTGATTCTAGATAATTTCAAAAATTTGCCAATGAGATATAATGAAGGAATATAAAAAATTAGGTAAAACCACTGCTTCCAATTCCAATAAGAGCATAAAGTTTAAAAATTGTGGATCCACAATTTGAAAGAAAAGGGTTTAAAAGAGTTGTAAATTAGAAATTTTGAATTAGGATAACTTTATAATTTTATTTAATTTATGTATATTTGTCTTATTCAATGTATCGATCACCAGAAGGACCTTTATGAAGAATTTAAAATACATACAAATATATAAATTTAATATTTTTTATAGTGAATTGTATAAAAACATTGACTTCTGGTCTGGTACTACTTATTCAAGCAGTTAATTTAAGACATCAAGATATGCCTAATTTACGCATACCAAATTTATAAAATATTCCAATTAACTCTTTTCAAAATATATATCTCTAATCTTGGTTGTATCTTAAATAATGTTTTTTTTTTTTAATCTTTAGCTTGTTATACCTTTTTCGAAACACTTTTGCAATTTTTCACGAAGTCGTTTCATGGCGAAGTTTGGGTAATATAAACTGGTTAAACTGCCAACCGTAGTTAAAAAATGGGATAATATAAAAGAATTCAACTTTGAAATAATAAATCCACAAACAAATTCACTAACAATTTCATAAGGCTAACATTTTTATTCCATAAAATAAAAAATGACGATCTTTTTTATTTCCATGCGATCACGCTTGTGTTGATGTTGATCTAATTTTTTTAGTAGAAATGTTTTATTTAAAAAATCATAATATGATATTATAATTACTTGCATAATATGTTATTGGCTTTCAGAAGAAGTTCTAAAAATTTGACTCAACAGTGGGTGATAGTCAAGACATTTTTTTAGACATATTAAAAATACTACAAAAATATTCTGACATTTGTAATTGACCGGGAGGACAAACTCCTAGCCCATTATTTTCTATGGTTAGTGAGTTCATTTGATTATGTATTTTTTTAAAGTTGGCGACGCAGACGTATTAAAATGTTTTACCAAATTGACTATAGAATACAATAATTTTCTAGACGATTATGTATGATTAGTTTTTCGGAGTTAATTTTGGAGTCCTTAAACTCATTCAAGCTTTTAAACAATACTCAGTTAATTGAAACTTAAAATATAGCAATGATCCGAACAGGTTTGGTTTCCTTATACTTTAAAACTGGTTTAACACTCATGCTTTAAAAAGTTACATTGAATTGCACGTAGGTTTTTTTTTGAAGATTTGAATCTCACAACTGCAAGAACCCAGTGCCTTACGCTTGTGTATATGCCTTTTGAAGTAAAATATGTAGAACATGCGCTCTTGCAAGCAAAGAATAGAACAAAGCTGTAATCCAAATGTTTTTACTAATCTCACCCTCAAAATAAGGTTTGATAACCAAAAATGTACCATCTTTCGCTCCTGTTTCTTTTTATAGATATTTTTTGTTTCCTATGAATTACTTATATCCGTATGAGAATTTAGAGAAAACGCATTTTTTTAGGAGGAACGAACCAGGCCCAAAAATACAAACTACCAGGAATTATCCTCAAAATTGTATTTTTTTTATTTAAACTGTTGTTAGAAGAGAGTGGTTTTTCATTGGATTAGGTTAATCATCGTCTGATGTTGTCACAGCTGAATTGAAAACTCGAAAATATTTTTCGCATGCGCATAACAGTTAGTTTGAAGTTTATGACGATTTTGTCGATCCGTGAGAAAAAACCTGTAGTCGTCCAATCCGTTCTAGGCCATAGCCGGCGCGTAACGACCCCCACCACGCTGCCAGTCACCCTGGAGGACCCCGGCACGACCTGGAAGGGTCCACCGCCCGGGTCGGAGCCTCAGAGCTTCGGGAACGCCGGCGCCAATTCCTTTTCCGGGCCTCCGGCGGGTTTTCAGGGACCATCGCCGTTCCAGCAGGGTCCACCGGGGGGCGCGGGGTCTCCAGCGGCGGCTGCAGGTCCGCCGTACCAGGGCGGCGGACCTCCGCCCGGTTCGACCACTCCGCAGTACACCGCGTCCCCGGCACCCAGCGGCTCATCCACCCCTGGACCGGTCCCACCACAAAACGCCGGTAATGAAATAAAAATAATTATTAACTTTAACAATATGATTTTGGGTTTCTATGCCTTTTTGACACCTTTTACAATGAAACAAACATTAAAAAGGAAGAAAAGATGCATATGAACTTATATAACAAAAATACTTGAAGAAAATAGAACTAGGAGGAAGCAAGAAATGTGCTATGCCCCAAGTAAAGTAGTGTAAAAAACGTAAATAAATAAGTTTCGATTTAAACCACTTTATTTTGCATTAATCTAATCCTGAAATATGTGGCAAAATGTTGATACAAACTGTTATTTGGAAGTGTCATATTCAAAAGTCTGCCTGGTGTGGATGAATTTACAAACAATTTTTTTAATTTTTTCACAGTGCCAAGAAGGATGTTTCCAATGTTCGGTAAAATTTACTCGCGGGGAAGCATCGTAAATGATGCAAAACATCCTTCATTTTTCGTGCGATATGTGGTCATATTGCAATAACAGGACAGAAAATAATCCCTTTGCATACAAACAATAAACAGACAAAACTGCCTTAATTGGGGGCCCTTTTTCAAGTTTGCGCCATTTTTTGAATTGACTTTTGGTCTCACGTCTAAGGAATGAAGGTTTCATTAGTGGTTATTATTCGTTGCCAAAATTCAATACCACAATGAGCTTTTGAACAGGACAACAAATATTAGACCTATTAGGTGTCTGTTCTGGTCTAACGTCCAATTAAGCAAGATGTTTTGAGTTTGTCGTGTGGCGATCCCCTAGGTGCAAACTGTTGTATGTTCTGCATGGATCGCCTTCATGTTATGTTCTACCGGTTTTATAACCATCGATTCATCGATAAACAGTACTTTTGGATTCTGCAGACTTACCAAATACTTCTTGCAGAGACGCTGATTCTTCTTCTTTCCACAAATAGAAGATTATTACTCTTGCCGATTTTGCTATGAAAACGCGTCTGTAGCAGTCGAACATCTAAATCGGACTGAACGATATAATTGTATAAACTTGTCTGCAAAAAATCTGCGTCCTTCGAGAATTTTGGAAATATTTCTCGTACTTGATAAAATTCGATTGGTCCTGGGGCAGAACCTCCTGTAGCATAGAATGGGATACCATGTCAAATCCAGAAAAAAGCTATTAGATATTTTTTATTGTCAGTTAAAATTATGAACCCAAGTTTTTGGTATCGATATAAATTTTTTATTTAATTTGCAGGGTTTCCGCCTCCGCCGAACAATGTCGGACCTCCCTACAATGGACCCGGCCCGGGTCCCTTCGGGTCGCCATCAGGTGGGGGACCGCCCTTTGGGCGACCCGGCTCGTCGGGTCCTCCGTTCGTGGGACCTGGCGGCAATCCCCATTTTCACAATTTCGGACCCGGACCGGGCGGGTTCGGCATGCACCCCGGCTCACCCTTCGGGCCCGGTCCTGGTCATCCCATGTCCGGTCCCATGGAGCCCGGACACGGAATGATGACCCGGGGCATGGGCGGGCCCATCCCCGTCGAACAAGGGTGAGTTGTGATTCTTTGCTTTGGTGTGTTTCTGCTTTCGTCTGGAAATCACGAAACTTCGAACTGTGATGGCATTACTTTCATTTTCGCTTAACAGAATAGTTTTGAAAAACATACATTTAATAAATTATGTATTTGGAAAGTAAGAAAAAAAACTTGTTTTTGTCGTTTTGTCGTAACTTAATATTTTTTTATTTTAGAATTATGTTTTTACTTTTTTACAGATTTTGAAAGAAACGACAATACGGCAAATACATTTTTGGATTTTCCGGCGAACTATTGTGAGAAATAATTTTGATATTAAATTTCCAATGGTGGGTTGAGAATTATTTCCACGATCTTTTAAATATGAAATAATACTTCAATTTGTCGATAAATGTTTTCCTAACTAACCTAACTCTAGGTATCATATATAAAGGGCATGAAGAATTTTTTCCCGCTTATTTTGCACGTCGGATAGATAATTTTGAGTTGTATTTTGGGGAATCGAGAATCGTATCGCAGATAAGTTTCAAAATAATTCGAAGGAACTGTGGTCGGAACGGATTTTTGAAAATTATTTTTAAAAAAATCGAAAAATTATTCAGTAATAATTAAGCAACTGGGCTTGCAAACTAAAATGCACTCGATTTTTCTCTAACAACGCGAAAATTCTTGTACTCAATAATCTAAGTCGCATTGTATAATTTTTAGGTGGAAACCCCTCTTTGGGTCATACCTTAATCGCGCCGTTGCCGGATTTAGGCCACTGAAAAATCTGCGTTTTACTGTTTTTTGGCGCCTAATAATGAAATCAATTTATCGCATTGGCGTGTTTAAGTTTTAATAATCATCGAGTTGGTGACGTGACGCCAATTAATTTTTTCCTCGTCACAAACATTTCGTTCCGGTATATCAACTAATTGATTATTATTGTTTGAAATATTTATTTAGTGCACATAAACTGTCGAGTTTTCGAAATCGGATTCGCGTTGCTCGTACTTTGCCTGTACCAATCGGTTAAAGTGATTTCGCGTTATTCGCGGAAATTCAACTGGAATCGGCAACGTCGCCGCGGGCCCGTGTTTTCCGCTCCCCGCCGCCGTCCGAGCCGCTGGCGCCCTGCCGGGCTATAACCATCCCCCTGCGATCTACACTCTGGTCGGCGCGTCGGGAGTCAGCTAAAGAGCACCTCACAATAGCCGGGGATAGGCTTGAGTTTCGGGTAAACTCGATTCGATACGGTTTAGTGAACCGTCGCATTCGTCGCATTATTATTATTATTTCGAAAAACTGTTGAAAATTTTCCAAATCATCGTTACCGGTCATCATCGATGGTTAATGTTGGCCAATTCTTCCTCTGCTTTTCATCCCTTCTTAACTCTCAGCTATTAGCAGGAAATGGCGTGTCCTGTCGAGAATGTGACTGGCCGAAATTACTTATTCGTAGTAGCGATTATATATTATTTTTATTATGATATTTTACTTTTGTTTTTCAATGCAGTTTTGTGCAATTTTTATATTTTAACCCCTTTTATTACCCCTAATTTTTCTTAAAAAGCAATAGTCACTCTCCGCTTGTTTCTGGTCTTTACATTTTGAATTTAAACGATTATCACTTCGTATTCAACAAGATTTATGCGTGTGCAGATGAGGTTTTGTTTTTTCGGTATATCTGAAAAAGGGTGGTTGTTAGTCGTTTTTTTTTTTGTTGAAAATAAACTGTGATATTGTAAAAGCTCATGGCCCTTATCCGGAAACCCAGAAATGCGATCCAAGAAAACGAGTTATGTTAACAATTTTTTTTTTTCACAAATCAAATCTATTTTGTAAGGGTTTTTGGTTAGTCGATCGTCACACCGACGTTTTGAATTTCTTGTATCGGATGTCGGAAAGTTCCGTCGTTTCCATCGCCTCGTTTTTGCGTCGACGACGACCGGTCTACAATGAACGCACGCAACTTAAAGTGCGATCTCTCCCGGCGTCGGACTCGTTCCTGCTGTCGAGGTCCTGCCACGGTTTGCCGCCTCGTTTTCGGGTAAACAGACCCGCGACGTACCGATGTCGGTATAGACACGTCGAGCCGGTATCAACGCCGCTTCGCCTATGTGTGCTGTGCTGTGCTGGGCTTTTGCTCTGCTGGCTCGGCTCTTTCGCTAGGTAAGCGGCGGTAGCAGCCCCGGCAACTTGGAAATACGGACCCGAATGCAGGAGTAATACAGGCGGGTTCGCGATTTATCGAAGTCAGACTGCGAAAAAAACGACAACTTGTGGTCGTTTACCGATTTAGGTCAATCGTTGAAAAAATGCGATTCCCCCAACGTCATTTTCATTTATTTTGGGCATTTAAATAGCACACAATAATAAGATAGCTTTCTTTAAAGTTTCAGTGAGAATATAGTGAAGTCCAGATATAGTGAACTCGAAAGTTGCATCAAAATTGGTTCGCTGTATCCGAGGTTTTTACTATAAGCAATAAATGAACTTTTGTACACACTTAATGCTATATGATATATAAAATTATATACCTTTTTTTTGTAAAAAAATGCCACGATATACTAGCATTTTTTTAGATATGTATATATATTACGTAATGTTGGAAAACTGAAAATTAAATATCATTCCGTACAAAACAAGTAAGAAGTGAACAAGAACAAGTAAACAATATCTAAAAAAAATGAACTAAAAAAATACATATATCCACCTACTCTTGGATGAACAAATCGGATATTTTGGTTTGTACGAGTCTGTTAGAAAAGTTAATATTAGTTATGTAGCTTTCAAGGTTACAAAATAAATTCCAAACTTTCTCAGGAACATCGCGTGACTCCAAAAACGTGCGAATCTATTATTTTTTCCGTCATGTCTTTTACTGAAGGAACACTCAATTCTGCATTTGTTTCTGAAAAAAATAACGTAAATCAGAAATTATTTTAATGTTACACTTCATGTTGAAGCTAACTGGATAATTTCGTCTTTTGTCAAAGAATCGGTCGGAATAACTTGATCGTCTATTAAAACGTAACTTTCGAAGTCGAAATGTTCAATCCTATTGATAATATCTGGTTCAATGGTTTTCTGCGTGTCGATATTTTCTTCGGTATTTTCGAGATCTCCTGAATGTGTTTTTAGCCATAGTGTTTTTGCTAACTTGCTGCCAAGCACGGTGAATAAAATTTAGAGCGTCCAATAAGCTCACTGAAAACTCTTGTCATCATCAATTGCTTCTATCATCTTTATCAGCAAAATCTTCCTATAGTGACACTTCAAGAAATGGATTATGTCTTGATCCATGGGCTGCAGTTTTGAACTGGTATCAGGTGGCCTAAAAAACCATTTTGATTTGGTTCAACGCAACATTGAGAGGTGCTGGACAATTATCTACTAAAAGAATACTTTTTCTGTTCTTCTTCTTCAATTCTATCTCCCATTGGAGCAGCTCCTCTGTAAATAAGTCAGATGTCATGAACGTTTTGCTGTTTGACCTGTACTTGACTGGTAGGGTCTTGTTTTTAAAACATCTCGGGTTTACTGATTTCTCGATAACAAAGAGCTTTCTCTTTTCTCTTCCCAGACATGTTTGCAGCAACCAGAACTGTTATCCGAACCTTGGACAATTTTCCACCTGCACAACTTTTTCCTTGGAATTTCAATGTCTCAGCAGGGGTTAGTTTGTAGAAAAGGCCTGTCTCAGCGGCGTTAAAAATATTGTCACTGTTATAATTTTTAATATTGTCACTGTTATAATTTTTGAAAAGATCAGGCCAAACCGTTGTGAGCCATTTATTAACAACATTTATATCAACTGATGCAGACTCACCAACAATTTTTCCTCCGGAGATACAATTTCTCTTTTTAAAACGTTCAATCCAACTTCTGAAACACAAAATCTCTTCCTTCTATTCTAGTTCCCATTTCACTTGCTTTTTGCTGAAGAACTGGACCACTTATGGGAATATTTTCTTTTCTTTTTGGGGTAAACCACTGTAAAAGTTCCTTATTGACGCCTTCATGAGCTGATCTTCTGAGCCTTTTGCAACTTGCATTCACTTGGCCATAGGAGAAAATCCTATCTTTTTTTCCAGGTAATGGAGACATTTGCTTTAGGCAAATTCATTTCACGAAAAATATCACTTTGTTTCATACCACTTCATTTTTTGTATAACATCGTATTTTTCTTTCAAAGTTAATGCTTTTTGTTTCTCCAATTGAAGGTCTGTCATATTCTTCACGAAATCTAAATCACAACTAAGATCAAAACAATAACAAAACAAATGTGCTATGTATTTTAACTTTTCTCCGTTAGGTTGATTTGAACCACCCAATGGTTAGTAATACATAAAAGGATTTAATGTAACCGCATAGTGTATTGTAAAAACAAAAGATTACGGAAAACTTGAAAAACCTGAATAAGACAGGTAATTTATAAATCCGCTTAGAAAAGTCAGTGAACAAACGTAAATTATCCCCAACTCAGAAAATTCAATTTCCCAACCTGTAATTTTTCTTTTTTCCTTTTTTCTGCCTGTCTGTGTTTGTTTAAATAAATATTTTTGATGTGGTTAGTTACTGACGAAACAATCCCAATTTAGATGGCCATTCCTAACAATTTCGAAAGACCGATCTGTAAATTTTTTCTTATGGAACGCAAAAACGCAAGAAAAGAGAGAAGTTCGGGTATAAGTGTGACCGGTCAAATAAAATGCGATGAAATTTATATTTATTTATTTATATGTTGCGTTACGTCGCCATCGCGTCATTCTGTGGACTAAATGGATATTTTTATTGGGATTCCTCGAAGCGCGAAGTATCGTATTCGCGTATTCGGGTATTGCTTGAAGACGGTTATAGGTAAATTGGACATCACAAACGCATAATAATTTATTATAAAACAAATATTATTAAATAATGATAGATAACACTCTACGATTGTTATTTAAAACATTTTGATCGAATTTGACTAGTCAGTGAAGAAATGGTCGATTGTCGGTCAATTGACCAGCCTTAGCACTAAGTATAAG